GAGGGGGGGGCGGGGGGCGGGTGTTAACTAGTTTATCAGCTTTTCCCAGCAACGCTACTTTCAAATAGCAAAAACTTCTGACCACTAATTACAGTAATTACCATGCTGATATGACTCATGCATGTAAACTCAAACCAAAACAGCACTTGAACAAAGTAAGCAACAACAGAAGAAAAAAAAAATTCCTACTTGCATCTTATCAAGACTTTATGAAAGAGCACAGACTTCAGCAGAATTCTGAAATATTCATTTCTCCTTGAGGTAACTAGTGCTGGAAGCAGACGGCCAGAGTGAAGAGAGAGCAGCTAGGCAGGAGATGAACTCTTCTCCATTCCAGTCAACACCATTTCACCTTGAAGAGGGAGCCATACTAACAGGGCTAATAATTCCTTTAACTGAAAACACTACAAGCCTACTACTTATGCCATATTTTGGCTTTCACCACCTATTTTCTTTTGCTAAATGTAGGTATTTCCCGTAAGTCACTCACTCACTTAGGAAACACTGAATAAACTTGTTTAGGAGTCCCAGAATAATATCACTGGTTTTATAATATATTAATTTCAAGATAGTTAATAAAACTGTGGTGTAAAAGGAGTACGTGGTGTATGGAGAATAGCACCCTTACCCAACTACTCAACTGGCTTTTTCCATAAAAATTCCACTTAGGATTTGAGCATCTGGTATCAGAACTCATTATTAAGAACCAGCATATAATATAATCTCAAAAAAATAAGAATAAAATGTTTTGAATAAATCAACAATAAAAAGTAACATAAAATAAATTTTCATTTGGTCAGGAAGGACAGGAATACACAAAAGACCAACTTTCATTGTTTGCATAATTTTTTCTATTTGTGAAGAGCGGTATTATACAGCCACAGCTAACTACACAAATAGTCATGCTTTGGAAGCGACACTTGCTGTAATATGTACTAATCAAAATTACGTATTTCTTCAATCTTCATACATTCTGTTAAATGAGCAGTCAATATCTTCAAGTACTGCATCACATGCACAAAGCAAGTATGAGAGGTGATGAGGGAGAATTAAGAATTTGCATGAAATGTCACTACTGATGATAAAATGCAGGGTCTAACAGAAATATATTGCATGGTAGTTTGCAACTACCTGTATTTCAGTATTATGTTTTTTGCTCTTCTTTTAAAGAACCTGTAAACAGTTATTCCATGTGCGACTATTTAGGAAGATCCCCAACATTTTAATAGTAAAAAATGTATTAATGCATTAGATGCACGGTTGTGCATGCACAAAAAGTACGGGAGTGATATCCAGTCTCAAACACCCAATTATGCAAATAAACTTTAAAGTGCATACAAAAAAACCAGTTAGGTTGTATTTCAAAACTCAGAGTCAGATTCTACCATCGTTTGTATGGTGTAGAGAGACTTTGGGACTAACTTGAAAAGTTGTATCTCAATCCCATCTTTCATACTGGTTCAAAAACAGCTGTTTAAAGAGTCAGAATTAAATTATTCCTCCTACTAACCCTAATTATTTGCAAAAAGAAGATAATTAACAATTGTGAATCTAATTCCCTCTTACTTTATATCTTAGTACAAGTTGAAGTTATGAAAAACATTAAAAAATATAATGGAAATTAAAAAGATAATAAAATTCTTTGATTTCATTGAATAAAACCAACAACATTCTAATCAGCATGCTTGCCATGAAAGGAAAATCTCAAAAGAAAATTTCCCAGTATTTTCATTAGAGTTTAAGATGGAATCTAAAGCCAGAATCAATACATTTCAACAATTAAAATCAGAATTTACTTGGATTGACTCAATTAGAAGTGCAAATATACACACACAGTTAAAAAAGGTGCTAAAATATTCCCTCTTTGCCAATACGAATATTTATTTCATGTTCAGAATAGAATATCAATCTTTATTTACACAATCATAAGCTTTTTTTTTTAAACCATACCAAATGAGAGTAGCAGGATACTTCCACTTCTGTACCAAAATGGACGATTTTCAATTTCTGCACACATCTCTTGACATGACAAAAACTCATTCTAAACTTCACAACATTCCCACCACAGCAAATCTATCAAACACTTGATACTTACAAGGATCTTAGAAAAGCCTGAAGGAGAAAGAATAATAATCCTCTAAACTGATGATATTCAACATTCTTTAGAATCCAGTGTTTCATAAAGTAAATCTAAAATCATCAGGATGTGTCCTAATCAGAATGATTTTTCAGATATGAACTTTACAAAACATGCAAAACTTTCTAGAACTTTGCAAGTACTAGGAACTAGATGCACGCAAGCCATTCAGGATTGATCCACCTATGGTTTAGAAGTTTGCCTTTCAAAGAATATCTCTGAATAACAGGCCCTGTTCTCAGAAATCAATACTTCCCACTCAAATTATACAATGCTTACTGGTAAAATTTCAAGGACCTATATACACACACTTTATAGTGAATCTATTCCCCCATATTCTTCTAATAAATAAAACTTTAATGTGGGAAATTTTCAGGTAAGGAGAAGAAAAAGGGTCTTGAAATAACTGTACTGAGTATCTCCTGAATAGCTGTACTGAGTATCTCTTATACCAAAATACAATGCACACCTTGGCCTTCTGAACAGCACTTGAAAGAGTGCTCCTGCAACAAGCATGAAAAGCTATAGAATAAATTGTCAAGAGAGTAACTAAAGATCTGGAGTAAAGTTGAAAACTCACCATGAATTTACTGAAACATATCAATACAAACACACACTTTTTTCTCCTTGAAAAGGAAAGTTGATTTCTAGACAAGAGAAAATACACATCTAGACCTCAACATAATGTTTGATATTGCACAACATGAGAAATTAGTTTAGAATGGACAAAATTAGTATAATAATTATGAAAAAGGAGAATGTACTATGTATAAGGAACATGGGAAAAGTTGCACTGACAGGGAAGACAATGGTAGGTTGCCAAGATGAAATGAGGCTAATAGAGTTGTTCCTTTAGGCTCACTATTGAACCAACATTATTTCAAATGTCATTAAAGTCTCTGGAAGAAAAAGGAGAAAAGTGCCGATGACACAAAGCTCTGAGGTAACATTAATAGAAAAAAGGTAAGGAATATAATAATTTAGTCTGTGAGATTCTAACATAAATCAGAGAACCACGGAAAATTCATGGAATTCAATTATAATACGATCACAGCCCTATTAATTTTACTGAGAAGGAGGCGGCCATCCATCCACCCAGTTGTCTATTTGTATGGGCTGAATCCACTGTTAAAAACCATACTTCAAATAGTAATGGTTGGACATCTGGCCTCGGCTCTACTACTCAGTGAGGAGGAATTATCCACATAAAGAGTGTAAAAGACTGAAAAGATTAAGGTCTCCCCTTTTTCCTTCAAGCTAGCAGTTTTTTCTTGTGTACTTTCAGATGGAGAGCCCCAGCATAACCAGAACTGCCTCCTCCTCTAGACACTGGGAGCATCCCTTCCCCAATGACCTCATCCTACATCTTTTCTCACTCTGACACTATCTAGTGATGCAAGTACAAAGTTTATCTAAAAGAAAAAAAAGGTATCTTTTTGTCCTGAAATAGCTGTTTACTTGTTTTAATAGTGCATACAGATGCAAGATTAGAAATACAAACATAAACACATAGATTCCTGCAACTACAAGATGTGGATGAATGGTGCAGACTTTCTGTGCATCTTTGCCTACACTTAATATATACGCTGTTTTGCTGAATCTAATGAACTTGCTCCTCAGTATTGCTAATGTTTCAGAGTAAATTTATAAGCTAAAAATGGACTAAAAAATTCTAATACTGTGTTTATTTTAAACATTATTTTATTATAATAAGATCCAGTTAGGAAAAGTAACGTTTTAGAAATTAAAGTATGTTCACCATGTAAAAGTTCCTTAAAATGGCAATTCTACTCTCAAGAAAAGATTTTGTAATACATGAGATTACTATGCCATGTACAACTTGTAGAGGTCAACACTGTAAGTCTGCAACGTGGCAGAGATTTTTCCCTTCAAACCAATAAGAAAATCAATATAATTTATTCAATAAGAGTTTTAATTATTTTAACACACACACACAAAAAAGCCAGGAAATGTAAACATTCAATCAAAAGCCAGTGTGTCTACACTAAGGTCAAACTGAATAGAACTGATGCAAACAATTATTGTGGTGGGTTGGGAGAACAAATGGATGTAGAAATTAGGAAAGAAGGCAGGCAGGCAAATGGCAGCTCTCCCCTTTAAATAGTACATTTTGTAAATTGACACTAGCCTAATCCTTACATGTTCTCAGAGCAGTGGTTCACATAATCCTTATGATCTATTCCCTTTTCTGATTATACCTCAACACATACCAAGTGAGGTGACAGGAGTTCATATATCAAGCTTTTAATGAAGTAGGCCATTTCTCTATTCACTCTCTGCTATGACATGTTTAGAGATAGTGAAACTCAAACATAAAAGTCATAAACAGCACACTTGTTAAGGTTGGTTTATATTTGTGTCATATGCTTTTACAGGAATAAAAGATGATGAGAGAAGGCTATTACTTTCAGAAGAATAAGCATAATAGCATAACTTCTTGAAATCAAGACAGAAGAGATATATAGATGGAGAGATAAATACCTCTGTGTATGGGGAAAAGAGGAAAAGATTACATATTTGAGTAGGTCATTAGATAACATCAGATGGGCATTAAACCAGGCATCATGCGTCACCATCACATGTTTTACAGTGACAGCATACAGGATTTCAACTCCTCAAAAACAAGATAGTGATTTTTGGACATGCTTAACTTCTAAACTCCTGCTTACCTCAAAGCAAATACTACATATTATTATACGGGAGACTTAAACCCAGGTATTATGTCAAAAAAAAAAAAAAAAAAAAAAAGGACTCTATCAGCTTGTAAGTCATATTTTTCCACTAAGTATTTGAGCTATATTTCCTTTCAAGGGTCAGATCTAAATTCCTCTTCCTTTTTAGAGGCCACATACTCTAAGTCTTTCAGCTGCTTGAGTATGTCATTCAAATTAGCTTTGTAGTTTGGAGGCATCAGATTGTATAACAGAAATTAGTGTATAACATACTTACATAATTATATGTAAACTACATGTTTTATATATAATGTAAACATTAAATACACAAGATATACATATACAGTCCACAAAGAGAGAGTATAGTGTAGTATGTATGTGGATGGACTATGCAGCACTGTACTATGGATAAAAGAGCAGTCTCAAGCTTCACAGCAGAAGTTCACAGACTGTGAAGTGAATGCGGAGTTTCTGTATACTTTATGTTCAAATGGGAGAACTTACATTTTATAGAAACAAGAACATCCATAATTTTTATGTTTTAAAAGGAAGTCAGCACAACTCTCAGTAAATCATTAATTTTTATAAAGTAGTAGTAATTCAGATGTTCTGGGACACTTTGCCCCAATGAAACAGCTACAAAGGAATTACCATCCTTATGTCCCCACATGAAGTATCCAAGGTCTAAAAAAGATACGTACCACTGTAGAGTTTTATCATGTCTGCTGTTAGAAATCTCTTTATTATCAGATATGCAGTGCCAGGCTCTGGTAGTGAACTCCAGTGAAGAACTTGTTCTAGTACATTCTCTGTATAATGCAGAGGACGTTCTGAAAAATGCCGGAGAAAAACACAAAACAAAACAAACAACATTGAAATTAAAAAAAAAAAAAACAATAAAAAAAAAAAAAAAAAGCAAAAAACCTCCAAAAAACCAAAAAACAAGTTTGGAGGCCCTTAGAAGTTACACATACTTATACACAACACTGTCTTACTTGCAGCTATAGAAGAAAAACACTGCTTTCAAAATAAGACAATTAGGCACTTCATTGACTTTCTGCAGCAACACCTTTGCTGGCAGGGTTTGCATATGTAATGAATATCAAGTTAAACAAGCAGTAGTCAAATGTTCAGTGACCCTTTTGTATTTAGTTATGAATATTTGCTTATGTAAAGATGTTAAAACACTGCTTTCACATTAAATACAAAAGTTAGAAACTATCACAGGGCATACCTAAATATGATCAAACAGAATCGAGACCTACATCTAGACTGGGCCTCATTGGTCTAGGCTCAATACAAAAATGAATCATCACAGTTATCAAGTCTCTGCTATCAAAACCCAAAGGTTTTGGGGCAGTCACAGTGAAAAAAAACAAAACTAAACCTGATATAGATTATATTGCCTGTTAATGATCAAAACAGACTGAGACAGACTCTTGGTGTCATTACATTCCTTTTACTAGAAGAAAAAGTATGTGGTCTTACTAGGTCTTCTCCCTGTTACTGTGGTCGGGGAATTTCCAGACTTGCACTGTTATATACCACGCTCATACGAAGAGAACAGCAACATTAAAATACCAACAGATGAAGGTGTGACTAGACTGTATGTGTGCAACACCAGTTGCTCAAACATACATTTGTTGATAGGTATCATCCATCCTAAAAGAGAAGCTCTGAGACCCTTTCACAGGATTGAAAAACTGCAGTGATAAGTCCATCCAGCACCCCATACAAACACCAGTTCATATAGCAAATGAAAGTAGGGAGGATCTTGCAAATAGTCCCTAAATCCGCATTGCCAGATCCAGCACAAATCTGAGTGTGACATTTACTGCAACACAGCCTGAGGTATCATACAAGGCAGCGCTGATGTGGATGGAGGGAGACCATACAGTTTCCCTCTCCATTAATTCTTCCTCCACACATACACACCTGAAGGCTTTCACCTGCTCAGCAGTGAGCACCTACTATAATTCATGAAACACAAAAACCTTAACGATGGCTTTGCAGGCTACAACTTAGACCAGTGGATCCAAGTGCCACTTTATCTCCAAAGAGAGAATTTTTTCCAGAAGTTGTGAGTTCCCATTTGCATACCAGCTTATGTGGGTCAGGCCTTGAGAGGAGCTGGGTACAGCTCCTGGAAAGTCACACCTGTGTGACACTGTCATGTTGGGTCAGGCAGTCTAGCCCTGTGTCTCTTGTGTACTGAAGGGTAAAGCATGCTGCCATAATCTCATTTTTCATTTCTGCTAGGGTAGATGAATATGAAATGTCAACAGCTGCTTTGGGACTGTCCAGCACTACACTCAAGCAGAACATATTTTCCCGAACACTGGAGCTTCAGAAAGCAGCAGCTACAAATAACACACTTAAGCAACAGAAAAAACTACCGCTGTTTTGGGATGTAAAAAAACTACCTTACCTGTAGACTTGTTATACCACTTATATAAAGATTTTAGTATTCAGACATGACAACAAAGCAGCTTAACAACAATACCATTCTGTAGACAGCAGCTCGATCCCTACTTTGTAACACCCTTTCTTGTGGCCCTTTTGTTTTAAATGGTCAAACTTTTAAAATTTCTTTTCAACTTTTGGGAAACTGGACTCTGATGTGATAAAGTTAAAACAACTTGTTGCCTTTGTACAAGAGAGAAAAATCCATTTTAAGGAGAAGAACTTTATAAATCAAAGGCAGGAAACACTGGTAAATCACCACATCTTCCTAGAACACCAGCGCTCCCAGAGTAAACACCTACTGTTTTATTTATAGTTACATTTAAGACCATCTGTCATCATGGATTACACGGTACATAAATCATCATGCTGAAATGCATTAGCTATTTTACTGGCAACACACCTCATTTACAAACTACCCATCAAGCACAAATTACCAAAAAAAAAAAATACACCCTATTTTGGAAAAACATATGGCATTGAATGTTCTGCATTAGGTTTGAAATAATTGATAATTTTATCTACTTTTCTATATGCAAATAATTTAGTTGATTTTTAATACTGCAATTTTAGTATTTTGAACAGCAAGCAGTCAACACATACATCCAATTACCCTTTTACTTAGGTCATCATAAGCTGGTAAATATCCAAAACCAGTCATTTTCACCCTAAACAACATTAACTATCAGGAGAAAATTATTTTTTAGAAAATGTAAGATTCTAATTTTCTTGCCTTCTCAGGGTTCGTTTTCAGGGCAGTATATCTTAAAAAGTAAAATAACTGTCAAAACTTCAGGATTGAGTGTAACAAACTGAATATGACCATGCACTGGACAGGTACCAGACCAGGGCAGGAACACAAGCAGAAAATTAATTTCTGTCAGAAAGACACTGTGATCATTAATGTACATTTGAAACAAATAAGCAAGCTTTGTTACTGTCATGACATATCATAATCTCAACTTATTTGTAAATGCCTTAGATTAATTAAAGTTCAATGGCAATTGTTAGATAACGCTAGTAAGATCAACTTGCAGCTTGCAGCAGGAGTCTTCCTAAGTAAGTGCCTCTTACTACATGCATTATTTTTATTTTTCAACTTTATTAATTCAGTTTGCCTGTTCTGAAGCACAGATTCTTCCAGAAAGTTGTCCATGAAGAAGACATTTCATCAACACAGTCTCTACTGATTGGAGCCAGGTGCTGAATTAGGACTTCAGTTTGTTTTTTTGCTTGTTTATTTTGGTTTTAAAACACTTGTATGCCATTTCTACTTTCCATTGTAAACTCTTGTTTCAATGGGATACACTCTAATCCCTTGCCAATATTTATTGTCCTATATAGGGCCTGTACTGCCTCACTCTAAGCTTAATTTTGCTCATTTTCCATAGTTATCAGCTCAGACATTTCTAGCCCACACTAAAATACTAGTTGTTGCACCCAAATATCTCAAGAAGCTGCTGTGGGAACTATCTTTTGTACTTACTTTTATGTTCTCTTGGCCATATCTAGTTTAGCTTTCATTTGCCTGTAAGTGTTATATATCAAGTTTAAGAAAATAAAATCCCCTCTTCAAATTTTTCCATTACTCAGTCAAAAAAACCAGGATTTCTACAGTACTTGTACGAGTTATCAGGACTCTTCTAAAGATCACAGATGCTAGCATTCTTTGTCAGTTGACGCCCACATCTATGAATCTGGAAATGAACTCGTAACAACTCTACACAGCATCACCACAAGACTGTAAAATGCAAAGAGGGATCAGGATCATTTATTTTAAGTCAAAAAGGAGACTGCACTTCCATTCTCATTACTGATACTGCCAAGGTCAAGACTGATATATCAGGAATATTAGTAAATTTGAAGAGATTATTGTAAGCACATCTGAAAATCGAGTACAAAAAAACTATTCAAACAATCTTGGAACATTTAGTAATCTTAGGTTTCTCAATTTTCTTATACTTTTCTTTTTCCTTAACTTGAAAATAGGTATCTTCACTACAGAAATAAACTAGTCCACAGTCCACTTATGTAACATGAAAATAAGAGCAGCAACTTACTAATGAAGTGCAAACAGACGTTCCTTTTACTAAAAGCGTATTTCTGTCCCCCTTCTTCAAAAATCAGATGACATCAGTGAATATTCATCAAAATACAATGTTTTAATTAAAGAAAACTCTATTACTTTATGTTATTTTAAGTATCTCTAATAATAAAGTGCAAGCTCCAGCACGCATGAAGCACTCCCAATGTTAAAACCTCTTTACAGCTCATGAATACTGTTGACCATGTGACATTTGCTCTTGTTGGCAGCAGAACTATATTTAAAACAAATGTTTCAAGATTCTGCTCCATACACCATAATGCCACTTGCCATAAACACAGGATTACACAGTTTATGCCTCCTTTTTCATCCACACACATAAAATAATTGACTAAATAAAAAAAGATCCTTTCCCCGAAGTATTACATGTATTTTCTCATTTCATTTTCTGAAAAACATTATTCCTTATAAAATCAACTGCTAACATTCTAATGAAAATAAGTTTCTTCTTTTAGACTTATTGGTAAGAGCTACTTTTCTATAGCTGATGACGAATGAACTGTGAAGGAGGGTAATATAAAGAACATTTTTTCAAACCCCGATTTATAAGCATTTTAAAACAATTCATCATATTATTTCTGGCAAAGTGTAGAAAGAAATCATGCAGATGCCCCAGTAACCAAATGTAAAACAATGGCATAAAGGCTAATTTTTGTTTTGTTTCTATAAACTTTTCAGTAACTCTTTAACTAAGCTTTGGATTATGTTAAGTATTGAAAAATAAAAATAATAAAATTTGATGAACACAAATAATTTAAGTGTCACTAACCTAGTTCTCCATTTTCAAGTACTTCAAAAGTAGCCCAGATATCATCTTTGCTGGGAATAATATTTTTGATTCCTAAAACATCATTAGTTAATTCTTCTGCTTCCATCAAAGGTGATACCTGTAATACAAATTGAGTCAGTTTATAATATATTACAATTACCGACTTCTGATTTATTTTTTCAAAATCTTCCTCCTTGCAACTGATGTTTAAAAAAAAACAAAAAAAAACAAAACCAAACAAACAAAAAAAAAAAAAGGCAGATATACTGAGTTGGAAACCCATAAATTATTTGTCAGGATCCACCATGCTTTCCTTATTTTGTTCCATGAAATCAAAGTTACAATTTTTAACAGAATGATAACTTGGTAACTTGAAATTCCTTTTCTCTACTCTTGAATAATTAGGGGGAAAAAGAAAAGCTTTGATATTTTCTCTTCAGTATGGGAAGGTAAATATTACAGAAGTACAATTTTTTTATTTTAGCAATGCATTTCCCATTTTTTTATTCCAATTAAAAAAAAGCATGTCTTGCATGCATGTATGTGTGTATCTACATATACCACGTACCACATATATGTACAAACATAAGTGTTTGAGAGTCATATGCTGAACAGAACAGAAAGGAAACAGAAACAGAAAGGTATAACATTAAAAAAAAAAAGCACTGCCCTAAATTTTCTGCTTCCTTCTTAACAATATCTGTCCTTTGTCATTACAGAAATTAATTTTTTTTTTCCTCAGCATCCAAACAATAGAGCACTACTACATGGAGACGAGCTTGTTTAAAATACACTATCAGATACCAGGCTGAAAAATCTCAATACTAGTAAGCAACAAACTTTGGCTTCTTAGCGCTTAAGGAAAACAGCCACCGGCAAAAAGAAAAATCAGGAGGAAGGTCATTTAAATGGCCTTGTACTATTAAATAAAACCAGCATTCACTGTGTACTTGTTAATGTTTTTGTGTGTTGCACCCATAGAGCTGCGATAATTTATACCATGGTATACTGCAGTAAAACCAAAGGAGGACGTCTCTCCTTTAAAATTGTATCATACAATTCTCCTTAAAAATGCATAATAATAATCAGTCTTTACAAAATCTAGGTAACACAGAAAATTTAAAAAAAATATTTAAAAGAATAGTGATAGATATGCATTTGTATTTTCATTATGTAATTACATAAAAACATGTATGAAAATAAATTTGGTATACTTAATGAGAAAGTGCTTAGTAAAAACACTGTATCACTTGTATACACTAACTCTGATTATAATACTACAGTCTGGCTCCTTTCTTTCCACGTAAACTTCAATCAGCAAATCTCCAGCCTGGGAAACCTAAAACAAAACAATTAAAAAAAATTAGACTGTCTTAAAAATATTTTAAATATCCTTTTAAATAGGGAAAGTACAATTATTATCTAGTAGATGTGCTAGAACCTTCTGAACTCAAACTTTTTTTTCCACCAACTTATCTATAAAAATAGTCCAAATGTTGACTCTAATGGGAAAACCTGCACTACATTCACTTTTATTTGACTAGTGTAAGGAAAAAAACCCTATTCACAAATTCAGGAGGAAAATGCAAACCCTAAATCCAACAGAATCATATCAAACAAAATGAACACATTTTACAAATACCATTCAAGAGCAGGAAAACTAGAGGACATAAATATAAATTTAAAATTTCCACTTATTTCAAGACTGCAAAGTCTAAGACATGAGTGTACCTTAGTATCTTAAACAGCCAGAACCATAACTGATTTAGGGGTTAGCCAGGCTCACTTCAGTGCCAAAACAGATGACCAGAATTTAAAACCATGAAAAAATACAGGACAGGAACCCCAAACTAAAATGAGTTAGTTAAAAATGAGAGGAAAAATTACAAATAAGAGAATATTTCAGTCATATAGCCATGTGTACATATCTGGATAATCAAAATTCATTACTACAAAGACTACATTTATGATTATTAATCACAATGAAAATGTGTCATTAAGTATTTAGAAAAAGGAATCAAAACAAATGCTCCTGGTATCAACCTCTGTTGAATATAGCTCTTCAAATTTGTTGGAGAGATAGCTAAACTTTAGATACAATGCTAACGTGAAAAAATTAGATGATAAAGCAAGTGTATGACATAATATATAATAGTTTAATTACTCAATACCAACAAACATAATTTAAGAATGCCTAACAATATGAAACTTACAAAGAAATTGGAAAGTCAGTAATTTTATGATCAAGGAGAAAAATCTGATTCATGACAAGGAATTTAGTATTTTCCATTGTTACTAGATTTGCTCATCTATGGCAATAAAATTATCTTTGTGGATGAGAAATTACTTTACCTTTCTACAGTTAAAAATGTCTCCTGTCTTGCCTGCTCTAATTCCCTTGTGGTATAGACATAAGCATCGTCAAAAGATTGTAATTCATCCCAGTTTCTAAAACTAAATATATCGTGATGATCAGAGCATAGGAAGAAAAAATACAGCAAAAAAACTCGACCTTTCAGGAGGTGTACCCTTTTATTAATAAGCCGATTTAATAATCGAATTAACATTAAGAATGACAATTTGTGTCTTCTTTATGAGAACAGTATTCACAGTGATGCTACTTATTTATATATTACTACAAACAGAGGAAGCGTTTAAGAACAGTAAAAAAGCTGCATCATATACAGAATAAGATACGGAGAAAATGATAGCAACAGGCGAGCTTTGTGATACATTTTGACTAATTTACAGAACCTAAAACTACATTTCTATAGAAAAATAAATGGCAGAACTCAATTTTAGAGAACATTAACATTCTGAAAAATGGTGACTTTAAAGTTAGTTTAGCCTCTGAGAATAGAAAACTAACGGAAACATTTGTGAGGAAAAACATTACAAAGCTACTTTGAAGAAAGCTACTTAATTATAGTGGCACAGACTCAAAAAAGCTCATTTAGTTGTAAAATTTGCTTTTCAGATGATATTACAGAAAAAGGTTGGAAATAAGAATGAAGCTGACATTTGATTTCCACTGGGCTCATGTAAACAACCGTATGGAGAAAATGTGATATAAATTACAGCAGCAAACTGAAACAGCTGGCCTAAGTATATGGTGGACAGAAAATGAAGAGCAGCTAATGAAGTGCCACCCGGAACGGAACTTCAGTGACATTTCGAGACATGAGAACTTCCAGGCCTTCAGCAGAAATTTGGTTCAGTTGTTCTTCTCTGAACACTCTGCATCATCAGCCCAGAGATAAAACTACTATAGCAACCTATATACTCAAATGTATTAGGTATCCGCATCACCGATTTTCCCACAAATATGCGCATGTTTTGATGCAATAATGTCACACTATCAGATGTTAAATGGAAAGGATTCTTATGCACAATTCTTAATTGCAGCTGCTTGAGGTCTAAGTTGCCAATCACCCGTGCTGTTACATCACTCGATCTGCACCATGTCATCAGTTTTAACAGTAACTGGAAGTCCATCCAAAAAAGTTCCAAAGAGCTATCTCTCCTGCATGAGCCTTAAGTCCAATCTCCATGCTACATGGTCTGCATATGCAAGTCTTCAAAATGCATGGTCTCAGAAACTGCTTACAGGCTGAATGATGGTAGCTACTGACAGAGGAAGTAGAGCAGCTGAAAAAGAATGTTTCAGCATACCCTTTTTCTTTCACTGAAATAATGAAGGATATCAAGTTAAAGCTACACCATTCTAACTAACCACTGTTCCTATTCTGAAAATGTTTATCCCATTTCAGGTCTGCACTGGCAAATACAGCTCATGACAAATGGCTAGGGTCTGGCTATTCTTTTTATAGTGTTAATGAAAGCATCAAATGCTAAGTTGGACTTAACAACAGCAGTTTAAAAGAAGTTTATATGGCCAAGCCTGGTAAAATATAAAGTGTAGGCATCCATACAATCTAGTCTTCCAAAATTATGAGTAATTTGCACTTTATACTCATGATAGAAATTATAAATGTAAAAATACAACAAAGAGGAAGGTCAATCTTTTTCAAAAGCACTTAGTGTTAGTCCAGGTTTGGCTCTAAGGTATTCCCTCACCTGTTGACAACACCATGCATAGTTAGGGAAATGTTGAATTCTTCTAGAGAAAAAGCTATATATAAAATCTCAAAACATCCTTGTAAACCACCTAGAAGAAGCTTCTGTAATCAGTGGGCTTCAGGCAGTAAATACTCTGAAATAACAGCAAGTGCGCAACCTTTGATGAGAATTATTCCCTTCTGCATTGAAGTGGTCCCCAGCATTAGACATCCATGCATTTCACATGTTACATACATATACAGTCTCAGAAAAAGGTATTTTTATTTGAAACAGTAGTTACATTAATCATGTCTGCTACAGAAAAATTGGCAACTGGCAAAAAACGTTCCACAGTTTAATTCAGATGGGAAAAATGTTCATAGTCACAATCAAATTGCCACAAACGACAGTCAGGCTCTTGAGAACTCCACTCCCCAGTTGTTATATTAAAGGGGTAATAGGCTCACATAACAGAGAGAATGAAGTCCCTATCCTTAAAAGCAGTTCAAACTTCAATTTATCATCCATTAAAAGGTAGAAGTCTTGTTCCAATGTCTACTGCTTATTTAGAAAGCTGAAAGAAAAAGGCTGCTATCTCTGGGGCAGGTGCTCCCAAACAACTGAGGTCTCCTGAGTTCATATTTGCTATCTTGACTTCTGGTGGCTCTTTTTCCAGGAAATGCCATACAGAGTAAAGATACCAACGATTTGATAAGATCCAAAACCATTTTCTAACTCAAACTCAGCATTCCATGATGTCTTCAGATACAGTATTGACAGAGATAAATTAATAAAATCCAGCAGCTCAGTTACTATTTTCCTCGTAACAGGTTGTGAAAACATGTACTGAATATTAAGAATTCAGGTTTTCCAAGCAGGAATCTGGAGTCACTTAAGATACGCAATTTTAAAATACCCCAGTGACCAAGTCTGTTCTAGGAAATTTGCATTACTTATTTTCTTTATAGGGAGAACATCAACTACAGCTTTAAGTTGAGATCATTGTCCTGCTTGGGAAACAGGGAAGTCAATTATTCTGTATAGTATTTTCCATTTTATGCCATTCAAGTCTATATTAAAGAATAAATCCATAAAACAATACACACAATTTTTAGTGCAAATCCATTTTGCCCACACAATACAAATAATATAGCATAAAATATTTGATTAGGTCTTAATAGTAAAGTATTTCTAGAAGAAAGTGAAAAAGGTGGTACTATACTGCAATAGTTTTTCATTAATAATCAATTTTCCCATCTCCTTTTCACGTTGAGATTTTCTAGCACGCAGATATTTCTGATCTCATTTTCCTTTCTTTATGTAGCAGTTCATATGGAAATCCAAAGTGTTTGGCCACGTAAGCTCTTGAGCAACACAAAACAAGACTAAACAGATTTTTCTGTGTTTAATTTCCCAATAGCAATCCTCAAAACAATCACTCATGTACATGGGTACCCAACGAATTAGCCTTTTCTATTAAAACATTCTTGGTACCTAAAGTTTCTTTTCTTACTAAGGACTGGTGCACCTCGGTAAAGCCGAGGAGCTCAATCCATCTAACCATTAAACTCATCCAGGATACACTCTGAATGCACGCACTGCCAAACCCAATAATTTGAATTCACGTTTCCAAGACAGTGCCATAACGGACAGGCTCTAAATTATTCCAGGTGATTGTAAAGTTGTGGAAGGATTGTGAAGGGGTGGAATCAGATACAAAGGAAATAATACACTCCACTGCAGCTTATAAAGCTGTACCACATGGTAACCACAGATAAGTGAAGAGAAGGAAAAATGCATTCAGGTCAGCCCTTACCTTGCTCAAGGAAGTATTTAGCCTCCTCAGTCCTCATCTGCATATTAAAATGGAAGAAAATGTTCAAGTTCTCCTTTAGAAAGTATCTTAAGATGATGGTTTGGCTCTGTGAATCAGCATCTGACACACACGTGTTCAGGCATGCAAGAAAGGGAGAATTTAAGAGGCTCCCTTCCTTCAGCATCCTAGCTCCAGGCTAGGTCAGTAGGCTCCTTACGCAGCATGTTGACTGTTAAGACTCCAAGTCTCCCTTCCCTACCCATTTCACAAATAACTTAAGTGCTTAATCTGGGACAGAACAGTACATGTGGGATCCAGGAGCCTTGCCCTAAATTCTTACACAGAAATACTGTTCCTTACATGACGCAATGTCTGAGTTCATGCCACCAGAAACCTAACAGCATGGACCTGGAAAGAACCAGGGCACACCCTGGTCAGGCCTCTGCCCTGAGCAGCTGGGGTCCCAAGATCACAGAGCAAGCCAAGGAGTGCTTCTACACCTCAGGCAAGGTTAGCTCTCGTGCACCTGAGGCCTTTGGACTTTCACAACTCTTTGTGGTACACAAACACAAGGCCGGTTGCCAGGGGAAGAAAAAAAAAAGAAAAAAAAAGGCACCACTGAGATGGAAAACATAGCTGTGGTGTAACAGCTTACTCTAGAAATTACCTGAGAAAGCACTTAATGAATACAGCAAAAATTTACAGATAAACCCAGGTGGTAACATGATTCAGTGAAATTTAGTATCAGTGACATGTCGTATCTAGGAGACTCTGTAGTCCAGCTGAGATTCTCTCACACATCATATCTAAGTATTTAGCACTTATTTACCACGTTCTTTGGAGAACTTTTTTTCCCATGGGATGAAAAAAATAGATTTTCAAATGTATACATTTAAATACAATTTCTAATGCACTTCTTTTTAGCCCCCTCTCTCCCTTTAAACTAAAGTAGGAAGTGCCATTTTCTTCAATTTTGTAAGTTCTACTTGAACAAGCATTCTCTCTGAAACTGAAAGTAGTCATTTCTAGCGATATGTTAAGAATGAATGATAACAAATTTGACAGTAGCACACCACCTAATAAAATAAGAATCCCTTTCACTGCTGCCTTCCAAATTTTAAGTACTATAAAGCACTGCAAATCATCCCTTACTATTTATGAGGCCTGAATGGATGAGCAAAGAGCTCCTGGCTGAACTCAGATGAACAAACGAAGCGTGGAAGAGCTGGAAGCAGGGGCAGGTGACCCAAGAAAAGCACAGAGCTTCTGTCCCAATGTGCAGGGATAAGGTTAGAGAAACCAAGGCCGACCCCGAGTTGAAGTTCGCAAGGGATGCAAAGGGCAACAGGAAAGGATTCTACAGGTACATAAACTGCAAAAGTGAGCCTATTGAAAACATGGGCCTGCTGCTGAATAGGGCAGGCGACCAGGTGACAAATCACACAGAAGAGGCCAAGGTACTCAATGCATTCTTTGTCTCAGTCTTTACTGGTAAGACTGACTTTCAGAAATCCCAGGCCCCTGAAACCAGAGGGAAGGTCTGGAGCAAGGAATATTACGGAGGAAGACCAGGTTAAGGAGCATTAAATAAGTTAGATGTACATGAGTCCATGAAGCCTGACAAGTAGGACCCACGAGTGCTGAGGAATCTCACTGATGTCACTGTAAAGTCAGTCTCAATTATCTCTGAAGAGTCATGATGACTGGGAGAGGTTCCCAAAGACTGGAAGAGCACAAGTATCGATCCCATCTTCAAGAAGGGCAAGAAAGAAGATCTGGGGAGCTACAGGCTGGTCAACCTCACCTCAGTTCCTGGGAAGGTAATGGAGAAAAACCTCCTGTACATGTACAAATATCTGATGGGAGAGAATGCAGAAAAGTGAGATACTCTTCTCAGTGACATGGCAAGAGGCAATGAGCCCAAATTAAAACCACGCAAAATTCAATCTGAACACAAGAAAACAATTATACTGTGGGGGTGGGCAAACACTGGAAGAGGTTGCTCAGAGAGGTTCCATCCTTGGAGATATTCACAATCTGACAGGACACGGTCCTAGGCAACCTGCCATGCTTGAGCAGCAGTGTAATCAGACTAGATGACCTCAACAGGTTCCTTCCAACCTAGACTACTAGAATAAAGCTGCATCAGAGGAAGCTTAGATTGGCCATTAGGAAAAGGTTCTTCATTGAGAGGGTGGTCACTCACTGGAACAGGCTTCCCAGGGAAGTGGTCACAGCACCACGCCTGTCAGAGTTCAAGAAGCATCTGGACAACGCTTTTAGTCATATGGTTTACTTTTTGGTAGTCCTGCGAGGAGCAGGGAATTGGGACTGGTTGATCCTTACAAGTCCCTTCCAACCTGAGATACTGTACGATTCTATGATAATTCTGTGATTAGGTAGCAGATTTTGTTTCATTTTTAAGGTTAAAGTGATATTACTATTTTTTGTAAAGAATTTAAAGCTTAGCCATGTGTGTTATGAGAATTAAGCCAGAGTCTGTTAACACAGTGGGTGTAACCATCAGTTTAGAAAGCTGATTATTAATGCTAGAGACTTTGCTGTCAGCAAAATAAGAACAGTTAAAATCCCAGTTCAATCTTTCTATAATTCTGCCTCCCAACAATCTGGAGAGTCCCAGGGAAACCAGTCCAAACAGGCCCAATTATTCATGAAGGTTCCAGTTTGATTATAAAGTTTAAAATGTGGAAGACTAGCTTTTCAGGTGCTGGAAGCTTTTTAATAAAAATCTTAACAATTTTAGAAAGCCTAGGCTTTTATTTTAAAGAACAGAAAGCAAGTCTCTTCTTCTTGTAAATATAATACCTCATAAAGGTCATTTAGTAGTGGTATCTGGGGTGGAAAAAATACAGAACAAAACCATTTTATTTGGTCTTCCCTATATTCCTCACAGCTTCAGTTTTAGACAAACCTACCTAGACAGCAGTTGCTACTGTGTTATTCAATCCATCAACAGCCTTTCAGCTTCCTTTCTTTTCTTCCTCCCTATCTAATCAAAATGATTCCACTATCTCCTCCTCTACTCATGAAACTCCTCTCATATCTCCCTAATTTTTCCAGAAGGTATTACAAATATTTAATCATGACAGCTTCCCAGAGTTGCTTGGAAAATGTTAATAGTGTAACCAGATGTAACATGCATTATTTTGGTTCTAAAACCACAGAAAAGAATGTATTTAAAAGTCCATGCATTTTTCACTGTCTTCGGCTTCAAAATTTTATTCTCTAATCTCAGTAAGGTCCTTTTCATGGTCCCCAGAATTAATAAGTTCCATTAAAGATACTTCAACCCCTGCCTTGCAGAATGCTCTTAGGGATATCAAATCGGGGGGGGGGGAGGGGGGGGGGGGTTGCCAGAATGCAGATGTTTCCATTCTGCAAGACAGACACTAGAAATAAACTTTAAATTGTTTCCCAGTGACTTGGTCACTCCCCACTGGGCACCAAAAGGAGGAAATAGGCATTCTACCTTCTATATGAACATTCACAGTAGGTCATTATGGTCAGAAAGCTTCATGCCACTCTGACCCAGACAATAAGGGAATATGAGATAAAAGCAAGACTCTAGATAGCAATTCACAGAACATAGAATTTCAACATGTATTTGCAAGACCCTGTCTTCTTAATGATGGCTTACAAGGTACCACAAAACTGTTGATGGAAGGCAGAAGGCAACCAACAAAGTATTATAGATTTTTTTTTTCTGCTGGCTTAGTTTCTAAAGCCCTATAAGCTCCAAAACCGCTCAAAGCTTCTCCTCCACTACTTTAGATTTCTGAAAAAGCTTTTAAGCTCCTTGCATTTCCTTTTACCTTTCTTAATTCAACCACCTTGGTAGTGTTATGAAACTTACCAATTTTTGCTTTAATTAGGACTGTACAAAAATACCATTCAGACAGTGAAACGTGCTATCACTTTGCTGTTTCTTACCACTCTGAAGTTATTCAAAAGTTGTTAAGACTGGAACTCAAGATGATAATAAGTGGCATAAGATCTCCCATTTTCCTATATTGTATCCTGAAGTTCAGTTTGACTGTTGGTATGTGTCTGAAGCTTCCCCAAATAATGTTTGTGGTTTGGGGTTCTAGAAATGGTCACAAAACAGGATACGGCTAAAGATTCAGACACTTTAAACTCAAAGGGATAGTGAAACTCTAATGAAGAGGGACCACGTATACCCAAAGCTTATGAAATAATAAAAGTATTAATATACACTTGAAGGTACTTAATATGCAAGTTTAAAATTAAAAAAGGACAGGTCATCACTTTCACACTTGCAAAATTTGACCATTTCCTCCTAGTACAATTTATGAAGTATAGTAAAAGCATGTAACAACCTGTAAGTTATCCCAGTGCTCAGGTCAGAACATAATTCCACAGTATGCTTTACACAGAACTGTTTTCCTTTATCAGTTTATGCCTCCTCTTTTATTTAATTTTATTTCCCTCAGCGCTGTAAAAAACACTGGTCACTATACAAACTCAGTAATTTACATTTAGAAATCTAGGTATAAAAACCTGTAAACAACAAAATAGTCTTTGTTAAAATTGTTTTCGTACCAGTTGATATTTCCCACTTACCTGAGTGTCTTTCCACCTGGTAATAAAGCTGTTCTCTATATCCATTTGTTTGACCTGGTCTTCATTTATCTGTTTAAAATGGATAAGTTTTGATCAATTAATAAGTATAAGGGAGCTAGTATAAAAATTACAACATAAAGTAGCAAACACTAATTTAATATAATAAACTAAGATAAATACAAATATAAATACAGAGCAATGCTTACATCTAAAATTAGTAAATAATTAATAATAATGCAACAATAATAAATATTGTTACAATTAACCATAGTGTTAATCGCGTTCTTATAGAAGCAGCTATGCAAAATATTCTATCAGTCAGAAACAGCACTTCATTGATGGGATTCGTTACTATAAACTTTACCAAATACATATTAGAAGTGAGAACTCCAAGAAAAACTGCCAAGCAATGTTATAGTGGCACAGTAAACTCTACACCAAAACGGCTAATACGAATTGCTTCTAGCAGTATCTCTCTACCCAGTTGGATTTAATGTTCTTTCTAGACCTAAGGAACCAAACACTTGCTCTAGTCTTTATTGTAACCACAGCTCGGAGACTAAGAACACAGAATTCTTCCATGCTTCAGTTCTGATCAGGCCCATAAAATCTGCATAGAAGTATTATTTTCAATAGTCATAATCTTAATGTTTTCTTAAAATTGGTATGCTGGTGTCAAGCAAGAAGAATGTGCACCATTTTGGAAAACAGTAGCTCACAGCAACCCTATAAATATAGTCTTTCCTACACAGACTAAGCTAGCTGGGAAATAAAATTTAAAGCAGACAAAAAACAATGTCCACTGAATTAAGAGTTCAAAACCCTGCAAATCCTCAGGCAGTGTAACTAATAGCAAGATCATCTTTAAAAAGACTTCTACATTTTAGCATGTCTAACAGCTGAGCAATTAGGACACTTTATATAAAGATACCTACATCAAAAAGTTGCACATAATTTTTAATTAGATCTTCAATTACATTGACTTCTTCACTAGTTTGGCCCTTAGTTTGAAATAAGCATGAGGAAAACGCCATGGCTAGATTGTGAGGGTTCATATGATTGGTTTCAGAACACTTCTGCACCCTGTTGAAGGAAAAATAAACATATTTAGAAGATTTCATTGTTCCTTTAATTGTCTGAGGCTCCTCTACAGAATATGCAGTGCATTTCAAAAAGAATAACTACATTAAATGCAATGAAAAAAATCTAATATTATTTATTCTTTTTTATATTTGTTTCTTTATATTCTTTACCTCGCATCTCATTACGGAAATGAAAACTTATATTTTCTATCTGCATCTCAAATGATATCAAAATTATTTAGAATAGAATAAAAATAGAATAGTTCAGTTGGAAGGGACTTACAACAATCATCTAGTCCAACTGCCTGATCACTTAAGGGCTGACCAAAAGTTGAAGAATGTTATTAAGGACGTTGTCCAAATGCCTCTTAAACACAGACAGGCTTGGGGCATTGACCACCTCTCTAGGAAGCCTGTTCCAGTATTTGGCTACCCTCTTGGTAAAGAAATGTTTCCCAATATGAAGTCTGAACCTCCCCAAGTGCAGCTTTGAACCATTCCCACATGTCCTATCACTGGATCCCAGGGAGAAGAGCTCAGCACCTCCCCTCTCCACTTCTCCTCCTCAGGACGATGTACAAAGCCATGAGGTCGTCCCTCAGCCTCCTTTTCTCCAAACCAGACAAGCCCAAAGTCCTTAGCTACTCCCCATAGGACATTTCTTCCAGGCCTTTCACCAGCTCTGCTGCCCTCCTCTGGATGCATTCAAGGACCTTAACATCTTTCTTAAATTGTGGGGCCCAGAGCTGTACGCAGTACTCAAGGTGAGGCTGCAACAACACTAAGTACAGCTTCGCTATATTAAGTTACATGAGTATATCCTACAAACTTATGATCTAAGATTAAAAAAAAAAAAGTGGAAAGAAATTAGATCCTTCTTAGTTTCTACAGTTATGGTAAAGTTTTACATATCAATTCTGTTGTTTACATAATGTATCCTCTTTTAGAATCAAACACTTCAAAGCATCACACAGAATTTTGGCTGTTACACACATGAATTCAAACTACTTTCAGAACAGATATAACAGCATATTAATATATCTGAATTGGATATGCTTAGAAACATCGTTAAACACAATACTTACTATAACCTTTATCCTAACAATGGCACCAATCAATTTAATAATCATATAAATAGTTTTTAAAGGACATCTGCTATGTACCTGGCTATGTAATGTAATTTCTGAACACAACATCCTGTACAGAAAAGGTTCTATACATTCTCTACTCACTACAATTTACCAGGAACATAATCTGACTTGTTCATTAGATAATATATATTTAACCATGACACTGCAGAATCATCCAAGTGTTGTGGTTTAACCCCAGCCAGCAACTAAGCACTATGCAGGTGCTCAATCACTCCCCCCATTCCCAGTGGTATGGGGGAGAGAATCAGGGAAAAAAAGGAAAATTTGTGGGTTGAGATAAGAACAGTTTAATAGAACAGAAAGGAAGAAACTAATAATGATAATAATAACAGTAATAAAATGACAATAATAATAAAAGGATTGGAATATACAAAACAAGTGATGCACAATGCAATTGCTCACCACTGGCCGACTGATGCACAATTTCCTCCTGAGCAGTGATCCATCCCTCCTGGTCGACTCCCCCCAGTTTATATACTGGGCATGACATCACATGGTATGGAATACCCTGTTGGCCAGTTTGGGTCAGCTGCCCTGGCTATGCCCCCTCCCAACTTCTTGTGCCCCTCCAGCTTTCTCGCTGGCTGGGCATGAGAAGCTGAAAAAACCTTGACTTAGTCTAAACACTACTCAGCAACAACTGAAAACATCAGTGTTATCAACATTCTCCTAATACTGAATCCAAGATATAACACTATACCGGCTACTAGAAAGAAAATTAACTCTATCCCAGCTGAAACCAGGACACCAAGTCACACATTTTTTATACATTTGTTGCTGCTTATTTGATCTAGGAATAAGACATGACCTTTGTTGCTTAAACAAGTTTATATTTTGGATATTGTCTACCGCTACCTCAGCTGCAAAATGAAGCATTGATGAAAAACAGAAAGGGTAGCTAATTCTCAAAGTTATTAAGTGCAATACAGATTGTGGAGAAGGACATTTTCCCTGAAAAGTCTTTTAATTTCAAGAACCATTTGCAATAATCCTCTGGAAGACTAGCAGACTGGGGTAAAATGAATTTGTATAAAGAAGCTACCTCAAAAATTACCCTATTTGGACACATACACTGGCAGCCCTCTTGCTGTAAGGCTGTTCCATCCCATTAATATTTATGGATACCTACTGCTAAAAATACAACCAAAGAAAAAACACATTATAAATTAAAAGGAATCAAATATAATTAATCGCCACAACTAGGTAACCTTTTGATGCTTACTAGTTAATGAAACAAGCCACATTTCATCTATGGTAGAGTTATACTGAGAACACATTACAAGAATTTCTCTGCTACAGTGCATCATTTGCATTGACCTGTAAAGATGTTCAATTAAAGCAGCCAAAGTTGCCCTATTGACTGGTGGAAGCGTCCGAATAAAAGCTCCATACTTCCTCACACGTTCCTTTTCATTCTGTGTATCTGCCGGAAAATAATAATCATTGAGCATTAATAACAATGCACACTAAAAATCAACAGCAGTTCTCATTAACTATATTTGCATCACCTAGTCATTTAAAATTACAATTTACCCAATCAACCTCTTCTTCATAAAGGCAATACTGACAATCTACTATTAACAAAGTCTATTATTGTACACCAGTTCAGGGAAACAGTATCAGCAATGATGAGGGACAGTTCTATATTCAAGCACCATTTGTTACAGTTTAAGACTAAATCCCAGGATAGCAATTGCTTTTCTTCTCAAAGGTTGTTTAGTCTGTAGTTTGTGTGTGTACATGTGTGAGTGCATCTGTGTATACACATGTGCAAATGTACTTCTAAGAGTTCCCAGAGATAAGAAAGGAAAAGACCTTTTCATATTTTTAATTTTTATTGGTAAAGTGTCTCAAGGCCCAAATTAGTTTAAAGATCCAAATATACAAGACTGGTAAGAGGAGAGTAAAGGGGAAGGAGTGGTGAATAAGGTGTACAAAGTTACATAGCTGGACAGTGGCAGAGCCAATGACAGGAATTCCAGTCTTCGGAATTGCAGTATGAGACAGTCACAGCTCCCTACCTTCAAGTTAAGCCTGCCTCCCTGTGCTGCATAGATACTACAGAGCATAATCCTGCTCAGGGCATGAGCAAAGTTAATGTAAATTTTATTTATTTAGCTTTTTTCTTATCAGTCCCTTGCTTCACTCAAGTTTCGGAAAGGAAAAAGCACATAAGAACTCTCATCTCTTCCAGCTGATTGCTAGCACTCTCCACTAACTACTGCACTGTGTTATGATTTCTTTGGTAATTGGAAGAAAAAATAAACAAACAAAAAAACAGTTTAAAGGTCTTCTACTGGATCTTCCTAAGTGTTTTAGTCTTCCCACAAGTACTTTCAGTGTCACTTAATTATAACAGGACAGAATTCTCTGCTGTAAAACTGAAGCAGAATTTTAGCCCCACATACAAATCAGGAAGTTAAATCACTGTAACACCATTATGTAACACCTCTATTCACAAAAGAGCTAACTTAAATCTAAACTGCTACCGATACAACTTTTTTTTGACTTATGATAAGATCGGATCAATCTTGTGGTAAGTGAATAAATTCTTAATATTCTTTCCTCTAGTTTGTTCAAATTAAGGTTAAAGTTCAAAAATGTGTAATATTGATACTTGAATTTCCCAAACTTCTAGTGGTTCACATTAAAGCAACTTCCATAAGTTTGAACTTAAGCAAAATCGGAGAGGAATATGCTTTTAATATCTTTTTTAAAGACAAAACTCACCACACTAAACAAGCCTATATGATTTCAATGCATTAAGGCAGAAATTATTGTTCTGTCTTAGCTTTTCCTGTGCATCTCTTATTGCTATGCATCATCTGCAAATTTATAGCACAGTTTTGGATGGAAAGAGTTTGTTTCTTGAAGTCTGTAAATACTGCAATATAGAAACCAATAGAAATATAGCTGGTTTGTATGAACACTATAGAAACCATCACAATTTATGTAATGAGTAACTAATTTATTAGTAATCTCAAGGTTCTGTTTTCAACCACAGAGATACACATCCTCATGTTTTAAATACATAAGTTACAGTTTGGGTTGAAGTTACTTAACTTTTCTTTCAAATTAAATCAATATTTCTAAGGAAACAAAAAACAAGTTAACTGTTGGTAACAAGTTTACATTGTTATTAATACACATAACATTGTGTGAATGTTCATAAAAGATATTTGAAGAATTTAAGCAGCAAGACTGTCATTTAACTATCATGCAGATGATAGCATTAACATTAGTTCAAAAGTGGCATAAACTTCTACATATGGTCAAAAGACAGAGTACACACTTTTTTCCTACTCTAACATTTGTCTATTTCTTGAATTCTGCCATCAATGCTTCAGTAAAATATTAATCATCACTTCTTACCTTGGCTGATCCAACTACAACACAGTGCAATACTGGTCTACTGTTACAAGGAAACATCACTATTTGTTGTTATTATTATTTTGGTTCACTTAAAGGCAATAAAATCATCTCTGATTAACATAAGTATATTGCAGCCAAGCTCTAAACTTTTTTTCTTCCTCACTACAATTGTTTTGCCAATTATCAAATTACATAGGTTGACACAGGGCAAGTAATTAACAACCCCCTCAAATTTGATACTGAAAACGTACATACAACCTTTCTTGTATTGAGTGTTACTGAATACATTACCTAACGCAGAGATCCAGAATGGGTAAAGTTCTTTAGTGAGAAGTGCATCATCTATCTGAGAAAGAAAACTCTTCAACACATCAGTCACATCTTCAAGCTGATGTTTTCCTGCTCTTAGTTTAACACTCCTTGCATCTTTTTTGAAGCTTTCCAGCAGTTCAACCACATTGGAAGAATCACCATTCTTAAGGTAGATGTGCTTGCTACCTAAACCTAAGTTACAGAAATACAGGACAGAAAAATAAACAAATGTAAAATCAAGTATTCTTTTAAAAATTCCAAACGTTATTATAAGAAAAGCATATCTGGCTGTCAAACATATCATATCTCCTACTAAAATCTCACTGACCTTTTGCACATACTCACTTTGTCAGTAAAAACACTGCAAAGCCTGCTTACACCCAACCAGACCTCTTTGCAAAAATACACATCATAATATTAAGCAAGCCTGGGATCACAATTTCAGGAATACTTTACAGGCAATTCAAATCCCCATATCTCTTCAGAACTTCCTAAAATAATAGTTTCAGAAGGCACAGTAAAGGAAAAAAGTTCTGATGACTGCTATTGTATTACGCATAAAAAAAAGCTGCTTTCATGAGCAAAACTCCCACTATTTTATTACCCTACTGATCAGCTCAGCTTGGGACTCAGTAAAGTATTATTCTATTCATCCAACCTGAAACATTTCACTCTTAAAAGCCTCAAGATTAGAAGAAAGTATTCCTTTTTTTCTGATTTTTCTCACATTCAGGAAGACATCAGGCAGCCACTATTCTTGTATTTAACAACTAACACCACAAAAGCCAACTTAAAAGAAAATTCATAGTCTAAAACACAGTCAAGACTACCTCTAATTACTGTATATTACAGTAGCCAAAACGTTATTATTTTTTTTTTTTTAAACTCCTGGAAGTTTGGCATAGATGTGCAGACCTGTTTCTCTTTACAGAGGTGTTTCCCACATTCCCCACATTTCTTGAATCGTATTTTATACAAAACCCTGCTTTTCTTCTGTACCTGTCAAATTAAGCACTCTGTCAAAACCTATGGAATCATGTCTTATGTTCTTGCAATTCACTTTTCCTGTAATGCCCACAAGCACTGCCTTTGTGTTGTTACTGTCAGGAACAGCTGTGGGACCCAATAGTGTCTGTTATCTGTAGACCACAACTGAAACCAGAACCTTTACCATGATAACACAAAAACCTGTATGCATACAGGTAACGCATACAAATAATTCCTTCAGCTTTCACATGAGTATTTAAACACCCAGTAATGCTGATCTTGAAAAAAATATTTTTTTCCAATAAAGATCTAACTTATTTAAAAGACAGCAGGAAATTGAATTTTAATTTAGAACACACACAAGCGATTGTTCTGAGTGGCGGACATAATTACCCTGCTTTAACAACATTTCAGTGCATGAAAGTGTAAACTATACTTAGAATAATTCCTATTGCTAATGATTAAAAAATAATTTAGCAAAAACATGTTTTTCATCTTGTTTTTAGGCAACAGTTGTAACCCAGACACAATTACTGACGATAATGCAGTGTTGCCATATTCAAAAGTTATTCACTTAAACTTCAGTCACTGAAATATAAATTAGGCGCTCTCATACTGACGGAGGTTACAGACACATTTTTGCTGAAGACAGATTTGTACAGGGTTGATACACATTTAGCATTTCACAAGAAAACTGATGAATTTGCAGTAGTAAAAAGGACACAGACATCATCTGCATATGATGTAATGCTACAGAAAGTTACACTGGCAAAATTTACTTAAGCAGTAATTGACTGTGTGTCCTTAGGTTATTATGCTGAAAAACCAGCAGCCTTAAGACCAAACTCAGCTCCACAGATAATATCAGTTTCCCAGAAGATCTGCTGACCAGTCCAGGCCATAGCCTTTCCTAGTTCACATAGCTTATTTTCAGGGATGAAGTGCTCTGCACCAAGGCACTGGACCCCAAGGCTGAGCTACATCAGGCAAACAAGTCAATTTCTAAAATAGGAAGGTGTCTATAAGGGGCATCTACCAAGTTGTATTTCCCCAAACTGCCCATTCTCAGATGTGTGGCAGTGTACTTCACCATCACATCAAAAAGCGGTGAGGCTAACGAGGGGTATGGGTTTACTTTAGATAATATATAAACTCATTCAATAAGATCTGATGGTGTGGGGCCTTAGGTATTATACAAATGATCTTAGTTTGAATAAAATCCACTGTACTTACCATACTGTGTAACAAATGCTATACAGCTGTTCACTATTATAGGAACATCATTTTTGCTGAGCTGCTGATCTTGTAATGCATTACCATCTGTACCTGCTGCTTTTTCAATTGCAGTATACCAGACCATGAAATCCAGCTTCGTATGGCCATGGATGTACAGAGTTCTGAAAAGTATAAAAATATTTTGAATGCAGGAAAGGAATAGAAAACTGATGTTATTGTACTACAGCAACACAGCAGATGTCCATGAAAAATAAGAAATACTTAGAATAAAACATCAGGGCACCTTCCACCCCATAAAGCTGTGGTGGTGGCCTATTGTTACAGCATCTTGGTTTTTTCCAACTACATTTGTACTAGCAGTGTCACAATAAATGAAAGAAGATCCACAAACACTGTCACAGGCCTTTGAAAGGACCTGACCAACATTTTAATTACTCTTCTTCAATCTTGCTCCCACACTGTGCATTCATAAGGCCAACTAATTATTTTCCAAAAAATTATTAACTTTGCCTAGTCAAAAGTCTCTAGAGCAGTCACCTAAGAAAGCTAGACAAGTCAGAGAAACAATTTCAGCATATACTACAACACCATAAAAGAAAAGGGAGAAAAGGAAATTAAACCAATACCAGACACAATTCAGAATTCAGTCAATTTACTGTGGAAGTGGCTTAGAAAGCTCATCTCAAACCACAGTATTTTTGGCAGAGAGCAAGCACACATAGGATGCATTTAAATCACTAAAACATACAACAATGTACAAATAAGAAGTTTAAGCATTCCTTCGAATTTTAACACTTTCAGCCAAACTTAAAGGGTTTTTTCCTATTGGGAAACCATTTGTTGATCACCATGAACCTGGAAGGTGGCATTAAGCAGAACTGTACTCAAAGCACAGCAGAAGTGCTACGGAATTTCATGAGGTAAGAGACAGCTCTGCAGATCTACCTTCTGCTTTTCATGCCAACGTCATCATCTCTTCCACAGTTTTCAAGAGACAATAGTAACAAGTAGTAACAAATACCTGTATTTCTCACTGAACAAATTACCAAAATGTAAAGTTCTATTAAATGCAAGGCTTAAGACTAAGCATATAAACACAGGCGAAGTGTACTGATGTCCCATGTACCACAAAACTGAGCAACCTGATGTCAAGAATATTTCTAAGCTTATAGAAGTGCTCATGTTTGAAAGAGTTTTTACTTTAATGTTTACAAAGATTTAGCTATCATGCAGACTGACCACTTTGCAGACTCTGAACTGAAATGCATTCCTACAATATAAATTCAGCACCTTCTACAGTATGTTTATACATATGCTACTTCTTCCATTTCAAAAAATTGATAAATGGCACACACTTCGTAACAAATAGCAACAGTGACTATATGGTGAATACTGGCACAGTTTTTGCTCTGCTAAGTGTGAAGCACATACAGTCCACACCCAAAAAATTAATAATTTAAGTACTCAAACCAACAAGAAGGCCCGCCAGTGTAGATTTCTGCCTTAGTGAATTGAGGCAACTGAATTGGCACAAATGACTGTAGCAGTCCAAGATCACTTAGTCTCAACATGAAGGAAGTTACTGCTAAGCTTTTCAACTCTCTCATGGACTACCATCGCATCCTTCTGCACCAATAGTCAGACAAACAGCATACGTGAGCACACTTCATCCACAACAGTGCAAATGCTTACCTTTACCCCATCTTGCAAAGTCCACTAGCTTTAGCTATGTCTGTATGCTTTGTTGCACAACTCTTGCATTGGGAAAGCAGTGATACTAAGTGATTCTGGGTAAGGTTTGTGGGGAGGAAGTGTGAGAAACAGACATCAGCACAACTCAGTGCCCTCCAGCAACTTTCAAGTGATTCTAATCATCTATGTGTCTGAAAACAGAGGTACCAAGAAGCTATGCATTGCTATGAAATGGTGTTGGAATAATCAAACTGCAACTAAAGTATGGAATGGAATTAGTGGAATGGAAATTCCACTAATAATTACAGATATATAACAAAGGTCAGCAATACTTCTTCAAAGGATATTAAGGGTCTTATATCCAGCACTTCATACTGGAAGCACAAGTCCTTTCACTCATCTGAGTCTTAGATTATTTCTGGATTCTAGAATTTTGTGCTCATAACTGCATTTTACAAGAAATCTTACTACTATCATCAAAGGGTTAAGAAGAAAGCATTGTGATTAATGAACCATCAGCATAAAGAAATTGTGCCAGTATGCAGGGAAGGTTTACTATCTATAATAAGAAAGAGCCAACTACAAAAGAAGTGTAACAGAGAAAAAAAAAAAAAGCACCATCTGGATTACATTATGGTCTGAAAACATTCACTGACACCTAAGAGAGCACTTAAATGATTACAGAAAAAAAGAAACATTTGAAACTGAATTGTCTGCACAACTGTTTTTCCTTAAAGTACGGCATTAGAGATTTTACATTACATTATATATAGAAGATGTATTTCAAAATTACTGTATACAGCTGTTTTCAGACACCTTTCCTCTCTTCAATGTACAGGTTTCTCTGTTGACCTCTTTTGAGCTACATAGGAATAGCTTCTTCACCTCTCTACTATGCAACTTCTACCTGGATGGCAACAAGAGATCGAGTATCACCAGTCACTTCATGAATTTTACAAATAGCAGAGATAATGGGGAAAAAAAACGCAAACTGAATATGGAGCAAACCAGAGGACATCTCTGTGTGACAAAGGGAACTGTCAGACACAGAAATTTGGAAAATGGTTTGCCACTTCTAGCAAGAAGTCAAGAAGCATCTTAACTATGAAAGCGGAACATAAGACAAGGTGAACGACCACCTGATTATGGCATAAAGAAACAGCGTTGTGAAAGTCAGGATTTCCAGCTGGGTTGGAGATAGTTGGGACAATATGTTCCAACAGAGATCAGAGTGCAATAAAATTTCAATAGGTGCTATAAAAGGGAGTGTGTTCCTCTCTAATTTGCTTTAGCAAATATACCCAAAGACAAACACGAAACATCTTTGAAATCTGAAAAAAATAGTCTAGAATTATAAAAAGTCTAGGATTATTGTGAAAATTTAGGAAGTACACTGAGCTTCAAAAACAGCAACAATCTTCAAAAGAGGAAGTCTTGTTGCTTTGAAAATGTTTTAGCCTGGTTCAGCCTCCCATAATATGCTATTACTTTGCAATGTATAACACGATTACCACTTCGTATTTCTGAGCTGGTAGTCTTCATTCGCTGAACATGTCAGATAGCACCTTGCTGTTCATTTATTCTCTAAGTAAAAAACAAGGTAGAGGAAGAAGGGGGAAAAGGGGGAGGACTGGATTTTATTCATACCTACAACACTTCAGAAAAATCTCACACGCCTTTTGGTAGTATTCTCTCTGAATTCTTATATTTTATACAGGCTGGAAAGTGTTATGCACCTTGCATCCCAAAAATCAATGTAAACTCTTCCTCTCAGTAGTTATGGATCAGATGAATGTTAAATTTATGTACCCCAAGAATTTAACATACACATAAATTTACTAAGTATTTTTAAAAAGTCCAGAATTCATAGATTTCTTACATTATAATTATTTCAGCAGTAAGAGTTGAAGTTTTTGTAGTTCTGAAACTGTTTACTTGTGTATGCAATAACTCTTAAGTGAGAAGTCCATTTGTAACAACTTAAGAAATTCTTTCGCCTAGAGTAGCCATATGAAAAAGTGTCAAAAAAAGGTACATGGTACATGTAATGTATGATTTTCCCTAATTAATCAACCCAATGACTGAGACTTGAAAAAAAAAAGGTGTATTTGTAAGTAATGGGAAGCTAGTTTGAAGTCAGTAACGAAAACAACAGAACAGTATGAGTTTCAGTAGGAAAATACTCAAGGTATTTTCATCGTTTCTTCTAATAAAATTTAGCAAGATGCTGTAAGACATCAACCACATTTATTTCTTCATGCAGAAAAGGGGGGCATTGTTTGTTTTGGTTTTTTTTCCAACTTAATTCTGGAAAAATCTTTCTTGTTTCGTTTCATTCTTGCAATACTGTTTTTTTCAGATTTTATCATTTAACCTGTGTTCAGGTGACTAACAAATTAACATGAAAGTTGTCAATAGATCAGTATATAGGGTCCCTTCCAAGTGATCAATCTGTGCCAAAGTTGGCATTAGACAAGCACTGCTATAAAATAACACACAAAATAGGAAAACCTAGAAAGTATGGTATCTCATTTAGTTGCTGCTGATGACATCTCAAGGGTATTAATTAATTTATCTAGGGTTTGGAGGGGCAGAAGGAGGATTGCTGGTTTTGTTTCCATTTACAATAATTGAGTCTCAAGATAAAGGTGATTTTATACTTAATCATTTTCCCCGTTCACACATTAAACTTCCTATCACTGCAAGATGCAGTAACATGCAACTGGCTGAACACCTGGATACTTTTGGAGTAATATCCTAAGAAAGAATCACTATGCCAAAGCTTATACACCCATATGGCTTTTAATGGTTAAGATAATGTGAACACTATGCATTTAAATTCTTTATGGCAGACTTCAGTGAAGAAAAATTAAATATATTCATGGCCACCATAAATCAGCCAGTGCCCCTGTTGAAATTATTTTCAAATAATTCAGAATTTCCATTAAACTATTAAAGCAGTTTGGGGAAAACTTACCCCCACTTGACAGAAATATTATAATGAAAGAAATAATAAAAGTTGACTTGGAGCTAGAAGTTTTGCTCAGCACTGGTATCTATGAAATTAGCTGCACAGTTTGATTCATCTATTGGACTGCACCTTGAATAGGATACCTCGGGTTCCCTGTTGGTCTATGCAGCTTACTTAATACTGAATCTTTCAATATTCTTCTTTGAAAAAAAAACCAACAGGATAAAGTGTTTGTTTCTGATCTGCATCACCTTACTGAATTCCAGAACAGTATCTCAGGAAGAGTTAAAATTTAGAACACACAAGTTACAATGAGCTTCTCCAAGTTTCTCCAAATCTGAATAGATGTCAAAGGTATCTGTGGGGTTTTTTTGTTTCCCCAACAAAGAAAAAAACAATCGTCCTTTATTAACCTATTATTGGTTGTTCATAAGACTGTGTAAACACTGCACCACTTCTTACACAGAGGTTTGCCCAATAATCTATCCCCGAAATAAAAAAAAAAAAAAAAAACCTATTACAAAATAAGAATTATTTTCATCTTTAAATTTGTACCCCTATTATGAGGCAGAAATATCCTACCTCACTTCAGGTTTCAACCTCCCATATCACTATATTTGATGGAGTCATCTCATCAGAATACTACCTACTGGGAAGCAGGTATGTTTGCTTCACAAGTATGTTTTTTTCTAGCTAGTATGTTGTTAACTGAGATCAGACATTACAATAAGACTAACCAGGGGACTCATACATACCCTCTCAATCCTGACCTACACAGATGGAGACACAGAATTCTGGGACATAAGAGTGATTAAAAAATTCAGAAGTGGTAAATGCTCCAAAGAGGTACTCTTTCTTTACAGGGTAAAAGAAGTTAGGTCCTTTTGAAGAAACCATTATTGGCAGACTAATCTGACTGGGAATAATTTTCTCAGTGGGAAAACTGCTTTTAATTAAGCAGTACTTGTTAGCATTTCCTGACACAGACATAAAATGTAATTAATACACAAAGACTTTCCCTCCTTTAAAAAGTCTGGAAATTTACTCTCTCTAGCAACCACAAATGAAAAAGCTCCATGACTGATCAGCAAGAATTCTAAGACATCAATATAAAAGCAGATCAAAGCTTTATTCAGATGGGAACCTTACCTTCCTTTTTCAACGAGCAGCAGGACATCTATTTTCTCTCCATTTTGCATCACAGTACTGATTGCTGAAAACAAAACACATACACAGTCATATGATCTACACAGACACATATATATAGACAAACACATGCATACACATATAGATATGTTTTTTCAAAATGTTCTTCAGTGACAAAAGGAACATGGAATTCTTAAACATTATAAATAAAGAATCCTGCTGACAATAGAAACAATACTCCACAAAACACCACAATACACTCACATTTACAAGAAAAAATAATACAGAAAATTATAAAGAAAGGTTAAACACATACTTTAAGTGTGAAAACATGCTACAGTGCTTTATTATATTAAAATTAAACTTGTAAATACAAGTTTTAGAAGACAAAGATTCAGAAGTAAGCTGGAATTTTTAATCCATTAATCTACTTGTACCCTAATGGCTGCAGATATTTAGAATAACATATGTTATCTTATACTGTGAAGATCACTGCCACCCTTCTTTATGTTGCATTATGCTATTCCTGCTAAAAAAAGCACCCTGCAAAACACCTACATTTTACATAATACAGAAAATACATCTGGATAGTTTCAAGTAACAGCGCTTATAAAACTATATTGTACACTATACTACGAACAGTAAATTAAATGTAACCTGTTTACTAATTTAAAATTCTGAAAAGTTAATTCTTTCAAAGTTTAGGTCTTATATATAATCCACATCTTATCTCAACTAATTCCCAGAGACAGTAAAGCCCTGAATATCAATGAAGCTCAATAAACCTATTCTGATGCATATTATATGATTTTTTTGTATCACACATAATCCTGGCCTCATTTGCATTTACTGAGTCAAATATCAAGAAGATAAGTGACCATACTTCCACTCATGATTCATTATTCGGCAAGTTTCAGTTATACAATTCAGTCTTAATAGTGGAACAGATTTATTTAGGGGAAACCAGAAATCAAAGAAAAGATAGGAGTATGGATATATAATATTTCCAAGAAATACAACTCTGTTATACAACTAATATTTAAAAATTAAAACCCAAGCAAAAACTATTTTCAACCGAAAGCTAAAAGTGTGTTTCATTTCTATACTTGAGATACACACAGTTTTTGGATGCTTTATATAATTAGGGTAGGAGCAATTACAGTTGCATTATAAAAATTAATATCAGAACAGTTCTCCTACTGCCTAACCTTTTAATTTTGAATCAAGATCAAAAAGTATTTACAACTTAAAACATAGCTAGAGGCATAAAAATATTCCTGATTAAAAACCACCTTCACAGTGTTATTCACAGCAAATGTAAGGTGGCAGTAAATAAACAGTAGAAAGCCCAATGGCATTTAGGCAAGTTCCTGCAAAACAGTCTGCAATCTGACAGCATTTACGAAGAGGATCATCAATAAAGACATAAACTATCTTCTCTATGTTACTTTAACAGAAAATCTCATATTATTTTTACTTTCCTACATAACATAGTGCCTTGTTCAATATAAAACCAAGTAGGGCAGATATGCTTAAAGAGAATTCAGAGCATAATTACAGACAACGATATAAAATTGGTCATAGAAGACCATTTGTATAAATATTCTTATCTTTCCACATCATGATATTGAGCAAAGAATATTTTTAGTATCAGAAAAAAAGAAAAGTCTATTAGTCTGTGAAACAGTTTTCCAAGAGAATTATAATTTTTCTAGTACATTTCAGTATTTTAAAAGTAGGCCTGTCAATCACCTCAAGAATACGTTCTGCAGTGAGTATTTCTGCCCTGTCAAAAATATGAGACAATAATCCCAAAAGGTTATATATTATTATTCAATTCTATACTCTTGTAAGAAAGACAGTGCTGCAACTGGAACAAAAATTGTCTTCATTCATTATGAAGCTGTGAAAAATCTCTCTAACATGTGACACTAAGTAGGGAAAAAAATCCAAGACAGAACTTTACCAACTCCATATATAGATGAGAATTGGAAGAGCATCTGGCTCATGCAAAGTAATAGTTACTGAGCTCCCTAATGTTTATGATTTTAAAATGCAATAGAAATGTCCTTAACAGTGAATTAATTATGTACACTATTTCCTGAATTCTAGATGTTAAGCAAAATTCTTACTTAGTTCTTGCAGCCTCCTTAGATATATGGAGTCTTCTTCAGCATTCTCCATTTCAAGACAAAAATAAAGGCTCGACTTCTCTATAGCAAACCAGCCTTTTCTCCACTGATCCAGGTTATGGCAATCTTTGTAGTACAGCTGGCCAATCAGGTCACAGTCTCTCTCTAATAAGCATTCAGCCACAGGAGGAACAAAATGCTACCAAAGAAAATGGGGTGAGTCAGATGAAGAAAAAAAACCCTCTTCCCCTAAAAAAAAAAAAAAAATCAAGATATTGCAAATCTATAAGATTCAAGGATGAAAGCCACAGTTAAAAAAAAAAGACTTTCAGATATATCATTCATAAACCCATATATACACTAAATTTAAATTATAAAATCAAGTATAACATTTTTTCCATTCATACTCTACAATTCAACCATTTTTGCTTTTTCAACTACAATTGATTTAATTAGTAATGGGACTATTAGCATTTGGTACTGTATAAAATACAGTACTGCTTTATGAATTCTGTTTCAGCAAATAAAGGAATAGAATTGCAACCATAAACAACTTGGCTGAAATAAATTCATATAGCGTATGTCTTTATACTAGAGCACCTTTAATATATTCTTAAGGTTGGCATTAAAATGTTGCTTCAATTCTTTTTCCATTTTATTTTATTATCTTGTTTCAAACATTAAATCACAGAAGTTATTTCTTCCTGCTGCACAAGAAACCTTTACACACACGATAGATCAGTATTCATCAAGAATGGCTTCTCAGAGGATTTTAAGCTAACAATGACACTTTATTCTTTGTGCAAAGGCTCCTGGCCTAACTGGAAAAGATAATTATCAGTATTACCTTAGCTATTGCCCAAGTCCATTTTCTTTGTGAATATGCAGTTTCAGCTCCAAATAGAAAAACACGTTCTGACATTAAGTAGATTTCAAAGGTAAAGATGTCCCTAAAGCAAGCAAGAGGAAAAAGGCAGCTGTATTTAGTCTTCATAACAGTAGACACACAAGAGTCCCATTTCTCTCTCTCTTTTTTCATTATTTCATACCTATGGAATGGAATCCATCTGCATTTCTCCTCCAATCTTAAAAGTACAACCCAGCTAATAACAGAGTATTTTATAACACAACACAATCAAAGTGCTTTTCAGGTCAATAATATGTGTTTAGAGGCTACTGTATAATAGTTTTTTCAGTAATTCTGAAATTAATGAAAATGTTTACATATAGTCATTAAAATTCATGGGAAATTTTTGCTTTTGCAAGTTCATGTGATTTCAGCAAGTATATTTTTATGATGCATTCAAAACATTTTGTTAAGGTTTAATATAAGCAGACCAACTCATTGAATGGGAAGTTGTAAGCTACCACAGAATCATAGAAATGTTGGTTCAAAGGGACTTTACATGTCACTTGGTCTAATCTGCTCAAAGCGGGACTATCACTAACCATAGAACAGCAATAAAAAGCTTTGAAAACCTTCAAGGATGGAGACTACTATTTCTCTCAGCAACCTCTTCCTGTTCTCCACCACCCACCCTTCTAATGAAGAGGCTTTTCCTATCATCCAGCCTGAACCTCCTAGGGTGAAATGCGTGGTCACTGCCACTTGTTGTAATGCCTGCCACCACCAAGAAGAGTTTGGTTCTGTCGTGTTTATGACTATGCTTTGAATTTGCTGTAGCTCAAGAAGTTCTTAAAGGTTTTGGGGGGATGTTTCTTGGGTTTTTTCTTTTTAAAAAGTATATCATTATTTAAACAGATGGATCCTGTTTTCCCTTTTTTAACTGACAAATAATAAGGATAGTAAAAGAAGAAAAAGCGAACCAGCTGAAATTGGTGTGGAATTCAAGAAATAAATGTCTTGCTGGACTTAGGGCCAGTCTTTAACTCATAAATTATGGTTCACCAATTTATAGTATGATTTCATTTGTGCCCTCTCCCTAGAATCCATATAGATGGAGTATGCTTTTTCCTTTCAGTGCTGAAGACTGAGATTTGTCTACATCTGGAGAACTGAACATGAGTCAGTTCTCTCATTTTTAATAACCACTTTGAAAATCATATGTAAATACTTAATTCTGACTAACAGACTAGACATTTTACGGACTGATTATTTCACTACATGAAATATCAAATTTAGGAAAGTTTCTTATAAAACTACCCAATTACAGGTAAAGTACAGCAGGAAGTTACTCATTCCCTGAAAGTGAAATATTCAGCCAACATGTTTTTAATTTAGGTATTAGCCTGAAGCGGACCCATTCGGAGCTGTAGCAAGCAATAGGTTGGATTCAATGACAGAAGAAGAAAGTGGTATTTTTCTTTTTTCTGGATACCACAAAGCTATGCTACTCCAGAACAGTGAAGGCCATCTCCACTGTATTTTACAGCATGTCAAGGCATCGCCATGTTTCAGGGTATCTCCCCTGTGAACGCCCTTTATCTCTATAGTAGCTAAAGTCATTTCTTCCCATTATCTTTTCCAGAAGCTTACTGAATAGACTCTGTTTTCTTTGCAGACACTTTTGCTTTGTAATTACAAGCATTACAGTAGTATACTGTAGAAAGATCTTGTTATTTTACATACACACACACATAAAGAAATTTGAAAGGAAGTGTTACGGAGTTTGTTAGACAGATCCAAAGTATAAACAAAAATGTTGCCCTAAAGAAATCAAGTATCACTGGGATGCAACTCCGATTTAGGTGAATCTCCACGACATGTTTTTAATGCACAAATGGGATGTGAGAGAGGTATAAAAGAAAAACAAGACCACAAAAAAGTTATCTTCAAACTAACACAACGTTCAACAGTTACACTGCTGTCCTCAGCTGCAGAACAAAGAATGGGTTTCAAAGACCAATAGATCTGTGACCAAAACGAAAAGCATTGTGGTGAACTCTAATCTGCTGCATTATTATCAGTAAGAAACAAAGCAAGCATTTTGGCTTGAGGCAGAGGTCAATCCCAGAAAGAAAAATGAGTATTAAGTGTTCAATTTATCATCATGTAACCTTTTAAGCACTGAGATATGCATTACAGTTCTAATAAGAAACAGATGTATCTAATTTATGCTGCCCTTTTAAATTACCCTAATGTTTTCATTATATCACTGTGGAAAAAAAAAATAATTAAAAAATCCCCAAATACCACTTTGCACTTATTTCTTGAAGTCAACATAAAACAACTCAGCTTTTTTTTCTGAATTGCATGTTCAAAATTCAGGAACAAATGAACAATTCTGAAAACCCAGAATAAAATCTTTGAAATACCTGAGTTTGTTTATTGAAATATTAATATAGGAACCTACCCTCTATTTAAAAAGGAGCCTGACTTGTGCAGTACAAGACAGATAACTTCATTGACGTCAATCATACCATTAGGAGTGGTAGTTTTATCATTTTCATAGTAGCTCAGAAAGCCACTTTCCAAAGTGCACCATCTTTTGTTGCAATCTGCAATTAAAGAAGTAAGAGAACAGTCAGTTGGCATAATAATAAAAATTACCTCTTCCTATAGAAGTTGCCTCACAGGATGCATAGCTCTGTTGTAACAGTAATACAATTATGATGCAACCTCAGTCTCATTGACTTCAGTGGGCCAGGAATTCAATGTCCGTCCTGATGCTACTTAACCTACAGAAACTCTAGCACATGGTAATTTAAGAATAGAACACTTATTTTTACTGCACAAGTATATTAAATGGCTTCATAAGTTAACTTTACCATTGTATAGGGCTCTTACTTCACTTGCTGTGGAACTTGATGGAGGAAAAGCTAGTACACAATACCATCTTACCATGTTTAGCAGAAGAGAGTTAAAGAAGCAAAAAGAAATCATGCTACAAAGTTAGAAACACTAAAAGCTACAAGAACAATATATTCTGACAAGAGTTGATAGCAAAATGAGTGAGTGAATCATGGTATGCAGTAGCAAAAAAGGGCTACTCTTTCTTTCATGTTACTGGAGCTAGAGGCCAAAACCAAGTCAATCTGTCTTCCATTGTTTGGTAATGCTTGGGTGTCCACTCACTGTCACAAGATCAAGGAAAACAATTTAAGCCTTTCAAATAGTCTAGAAAAAATAATATCAGACATGCCAGAACTTGTATCCATTGCACACTACTAGAAAACACAAGGAAAACACTATCAGAAGTTGTGTTATTTAACATGATTAAATTTTTTTTTTTTTTAAATATGCTACCAGGATGACAAACTGAAGAACAGAAAAAATAACAGAACAACCCTTTCTAGGTACATCAGTGGTTGAGCTCAATTCTCTCCTACTGCAGGCCTAAGTGTCAGATAGTAATGAAATTGTACAGAATTTATTCCTGTATACTGGGGGAGATAAATGGATGCATCATAGACAGGCGGTAGCTATAGCCATTTCAGGATGGCATGTTCACATTATAATGAATTGGAGATCTCTCTTGTTGCTATTCACATATATAGCTGGCAAGGGTAAATTCATTTAGCAATACTGTCATTTACGGGATGCTAACATTTGTAGGGTGCTTTCAACATGTAACAATTTACAGTTGCTGAGCATGGTTAAATTACCTAGTTAAGAATTCTACCTTCAAATAACTTTGAATTAGATATGTTGGAGTATCCAGTAATTGCCATCTGCAGTTTTAAAAAGAAAAAACAAACAAACAAACAAAAACCCAACAAAAACCAACCCCTCCTCCCCAAACCAACCAAGGTGGAGCGGAAAAAATCTGCAGAGCAACTTAAAAGTATTATTTGGCATATTTAATTAAGACCAAATGTCTACCCCCTCTTATGAACCTAAAATATGAATACAGCACATGACATAGCATATTAATGACTATCTGCTACTCAAAATATTCATGCATTCATTCTAGCTTACATCTAGTTCTTAGAATATAATTTGAGGTGCACCTATTCCCACCACTGCACAGAAGCAGGTCCTAAGAGAAAATACTCTGTTTATTTCTACAGTCTTAAAATTCCTATACAGCTGCAAATATTCTGGTAAAGTATTTGTGAGAATTTGGTAAAATAGCTCTGGAAAAAAAACATTAAAAAAATCAAACAAAAAAACAAACTGCAGTTGTAGTTAGCCAATACTTAGTATATTATCTGATATTAGTTTTTCTGTTGTTTGCTATATGATTTATACATGTTTTATAAATCTCAGTACTATTTCATTAGTACTTATTTGCATCATGCTATTTGCTATCTAGTTCTATCTATATTCTGTCTAAATACACATTTTAAATACTAAAATAAACAAAAGACAAAGCATTTGAAAATGTATAGGTTTACAGAGGTTTTGATTGTTTAGGTTTTTTCGTCCCCCAGCTTTCCCCCCTCCCATCCCACAAAGCCTATTCTACAAAACAGCTCACTGCTTCAATATTCATTAAACTGTTACAATGCCCAAGGACGATTTTGGAACCTCAAGGCTTTTAACAGGGATACATAAAACCTTTTACACTAAAAACAGAAGCAAAAAAAAAAAAAAAAATCAACCTGAGCCACTAAACCTCTAACCTTTACTTTTGGATCTGCTACATCAAAATAGCACCAATGTTTGAGCTCTCTTCCTGCTGATCATCAACAGCTATTAATTAACAACAACTTTCCTCAAAAGTTACGCACGCCTGCTGAAACCACTGATGCTGCTATAATGAGAAGTACACACGAAGCTGGCTTACTCTCTCTCCTGCATTATCTGAAACATAATGAAAAGCTAGACCATATTGCCAGGTGTTCCACCTGGTTGTTATAAAACCTGGGTTCAATTCACAGCACTGAATGATTTCTTGAGTATCCTTTTACCATTAGGGCTCAGCCCACAAAGGGATAACAGTTTTCTGTGACAACAAACACAGCACTTAATTTTCAGCCTTTGGCACTAAAGGCAAGGCTGACAACTGCCTCAGAGATTCGTAACACCGAGGAAGAACTTAACGGTAGTTTAATGGTTAGACAGCTTAACAGGATTCTGGCTTGCAGCCCTTTCCACAAACAGCATTAAAAAAAAAAAAAAGAAATAAATCAGTAGATCAAAAGCCCAAAGTGCTTTGGGACCAGGCCCAAAATTTAGACAAGTGCTGTAATCCCCAGTGAGAGAATGGTGGCTCCCTCTCTGGCCCAGTTAGTTCGCAGCAAGTCAGAACTGTTTCAACAGGAAAGCTTATTTTTTTTTCTCTCTAGAACTAAACAGCTAGGTCATTTTGGGGGGTAATGTGACCTTCTTATTTGGATCTTTACAAGCAGAGGAGGGAACTGAAACTGTATCTCCCACACATTAGTACTCTAACCATCAAGTTATTTTCTAAAGACAGTAAGATGGAAAAAAAAAAATATTGCCACCTAATCCCAACAATCTGCGATATGCATATCCCATATTATTTCATGTTAATGAGATTTTATAAATGTAGAAACAGTTCTTGATGTAGGGCAAAAAATTAATACAGAAGGGAAAAAAAAAGATCATGTGTTTTATATTTTAAATAGCAAAAAAAACCCTTTTGTCATAATACTTCTTACACATGGCTGAGATACATTAGAGCCCTCAAGGAAGAGCAGCTTCTAATTCAAAATTGCAGAGGGTTTTTGTTGTTGTTGAAAGGATGTTATTATTACACCTTCCTCCCTTGTCCCGTTTGTCATTTGTCTTCCTGAACTGCAAATGGTCAGGGAAACCTATCTTCCTAAGTATCTGTAAAGCACCATCCCAAAAACATCAGTCCTGACAAACACATGGGTAATTCAACATTAATGCAAAAACAAAGCCAACAAACACCCCCCAAAAAAATCCCCCCAAAAACCAAACCACAGAACATCTACTATCTACAAAACACCATCACAATTTCAGAGGCCAAAACCTGAGCAGAACGAAATCTGGTTCCTTTCCATTTACTGTATGTTCCTCCAAGTACTAAGTGCAATGCTAAGCAATTGACTACAAGCTTTCAAAGCAGCTTCATTTCTGCCCACTAAAAACTTATGATGGAAGACAGTCAAAATTCAGTTGTTTCTTGTCTGAGGGGTTTCTTCATAAATATTTTTAAGGTATCCTACTAATGATGCTCACTCCCACTGCGTCTCCCCAAAAACCACTACAGGAGACATTCTGTGAGCATTTATAGCTAAATCTTCAATCTAGACAGGTATTTACAAACTTATACTGCACTTCTAGCATACCATTGTGTTAGAAGAGAACAGTAGTATTGCCTTATGGGGTCTTTTTTTTTTTTTTTTTTAAAGTTTTTTTACTAATACAGATATAGATACCCACAACACAGAGGACAAGGTCTGGACTACTTTAGTAGTGAGGTTTGCAGTTATTCCTTTCTTTCCTGAATAAGTTCAGTGCAGTTTCAGAACAATCCTCAAGCAAGTCCTGTCTAGCAGCAGTCCTCTGCCACAACAGGTGTCTTTGTTAACAACTGCAAAGTTGCTAGGAAATGCCTGTGATCAGGGATTAGTTCTGTTTATCCCCTGATGCTTTCAAGAATTTTGACTCACATTAACATATAGATTCTTCAAAAGCATATTTAAATAGAAGTTATGTGCTTTAACATGCTTTAATCTCCACTAAAGGTCTTAAAAGCATACACCATGAGAATATGGACATAATCATACAAAAATATGTATATACCAACACAGGATGCTGTGTCAAGATTTTAGGAGTAATAAACTCAACCATGAATCAGCCTGGATTTTAAAAATCCACATAATTTGTTTGTTTAGATGGAAGAAAAATATAGGAACACAACTGGGGAGAAAAAAAGGAAGAAAAAAAAGCTAGGAAAATTATCTGATAACATCTCTCAAAAAAAAAATCACAGAAGACTGATATACACAGAAGACCATGTATATCTACATCTACGGTGACATACACACATTTTCACCCTACAAAACTCAATTTGTTGTAAAGTTGTTGGAAGTACTCATTTCTACTTGGTATACTTCTAAAATTTGTGAGCTTGAGAAATATCCTAGGTGTTAGCCATTTGGACTCTTACTAAGAAGTCAGTAATACTTTTAAATGATTTCTGGAATATTATCATTTTAGATGGAAACTACTTTTTGGCAGTTAGTAGCATCCATCTAAATATAATTAAACTGAGAAGTATTTCCAAGTGTTTTTTATTTATCAGTAACTGTTGTTAACTGAGTAATTTTTCAGTTGTTCAGTTTTCTTCTACTGTCAACCACTGCATAAAGAGAACAAGACAATCAGTATTTTCTTTATCTGAAAGAGGTCTACCAAATCAAAAGAGGATATGTCATATCAAAGACCTTTTATCTTTTTAAAAGGTAATGCAAGAAGTTAAAAAGAATCAAATTCATCCAAACCATACATATTCCTGTATTATTCAAATGCATAAAGTAAAAGTGAAATACCTTCTTTTAATTTCTTCTCTGTAAGAACCTTAGCAGTATTAGAAGAAACTTTGTATAAGAATTCACAAAGAAAGGTGGAATGTGAGGAATCTTCAGAGAAGCCACTTTCAAAACAAGTATCATAGTTTGGGAAATCTATTAAAAGACAAAAGGAGTAAGTAACATACAGAACTTCAGTTCTATCAGTTATAACCATTTCTCCACAGGTCTTTCTAACTGCGTATCTGTAGTTATGTAGTTGCTCTGTAATATTTTTACTACAACACAGATAGATCTTACTGATTTATTTTTATAATTAGAGTAAAATTCTTACGAATTCATAAAAAAAATTGGTTCACATTTGTTACAACATTGCCGTTGTCTACCACTGCTTGCCAGTGTAATCTAAAACACAGTTTTCTGGTGTACTAAGCTTTTATTTTCATCCCTTATGTAACACACTTCAACAGAAGGGAATTGTTTCTCTTGAGGGCTTATCTAGAAGTTTACCACCAATTCTGGCAGCAGACAGACAATGATTCCGAGAACAACTGTCAACCTGCAATGACCTCCCTCTCCCTGAAGAGAAGAATAAACACTAGCACCAGCACATGGTGATGCTGCCTTGGCTGGCAGGCTAAAAGTAGAAAAGACAGAGCCAAGACAAGCAAACTTCTCTCTATAGCCTTAGGACCACTTGAGAGCATAGCCAGCAAAAAAAACCCAAAACAAACCATAGCTGCATGTTTGCACGTGACTGAGCTCAACATCCTACAATCCAGTGCCTGGCACCTGTGACACAGCAATGCTCAGGCACAACTTAAAGCACTGTGTTTGCTCTAGGAAGCCCTAAATCATTCCTGCGTTTCCCACTAAAACTTTTGCTGTTCAGCCTATGCAGTGTTACTTTGCAGAGTGGCACAAGACAATGGAAAGCTGGTCCAGGAGTATGTCCACAACGCTGGCTGCAGTATAGCATAGATAATTTTTTCCAGTGTAAATCTGCATGTGAACTTTCATTCCCAGACTACTTCATATGCTGTACAGCCCTTTTAAAAGGTAAGCTCAGGCACATCCATACTCTACAATTTATTTATTTATTTTTAAGAATAGCTTTCTGTTTTCAAGAGCCTCATAAATGTCACACACTGCAGCCAGAACTGTTGACTTTCAAGGCTGAAGTTTATCATGTGCTCCAAGCTGTACAGAAGTTGTGATCTGAAAAAAAAAAGTTTCCTGGGATAGATCATATTACAGGTTCAAGAAATGAGTTTTTTGGGGGGAGGAGAGTTTGTGAAAAGACAGGTAAGTCTGTGTGCAGTACGGGTAGATATCAAATTAAAGAATTTTTAAGAAAAAAACAAATCCCCGGATGAATACTTTAGATACATGTTAACTGTATATACCCATTTTTTCCAGTAAAAGCCTGATAATACTGGCAGAGCAGATGTCATTTTTCATCTCTGTTATAAATAAGGGTATAAGGCCTATGAGTTATCACTGGCTTTTTTATTATTTCTTTAAAGTCCTAAACTTGATTTCTGAGCAAAATAAAAGTAACTTGTACACAATTACATACACTGTCTACTGAAATACAGTTAATGGCATCACAACTCCCCCTCCGCTATACCACTGCTGTTCAACTCAATGCCAATTTTTCTTCCGAATTCCTTCCTTCCTTCTCTTTTGCTCAATATAAAATTAGAAGATCAAAACAAATACATTGTATCCTACCTGAGAACTTATTATGGTACAGGAATTCCATTTGCAGTCTTTGTCCAGCTTTCTTGGCTAGTAAGTATGGAGTACTGTAAACAGGGTCTCCAGTGGCACACATAGCATCAGCCCCACTAAACAGCAACATCAGAGTTTCTAGCACATCTTGTTTAACCACGGCAGCACACAGGGCCTTATCATGGAGAGAGAAAATAAGAAGTCTGTTCAAATTAGAAAGTTATTGGCAACAAGTACATGTAATTTAGATGCAAATCCCTTCACCTCCAATATAGTTCGCCTGCATTTTCAAAGACCATAAACATTACGAAGTAGCAGGAATCATGAAGTATGGTCTGAATCTAGAAAAAAGCAGCAACAACAACAAAAGAAAACCCAAAAACATAATGACCATAACAAACCTTTTTTTTTAACTTTCTTTCAAAAAGTTGGTCCAAAACCTTAAAACTAAGAGTAGCTCCACAATTACAGCAATCAACTTCATAACAATTTCTATGATTTAATATGTATTTAAATTATTTAATGAATGCATTTTTCTGAAATTATTAAGAAGTCACTCAACACAAGAATACTACTCTAAAATTCAGCTGCTCTAATAAACATACAAGCATCCAGTAAGCATGAGATGACAGGGCAGACAGTTCAGTAAAAATTCCAGAATTGCTCGGCAATGACCACCTTATTACACTGCAATTTCACGTCTCTATAGAGAATTTGACCATTACATCTGATATTTTTCCCAGTGGTGAAATGATTAACTGACAGACACCCTTCCCCCTTCCACCAACAAAAAATACAGACTTCAGAAAAATCAAGCCTGTAAAACACCAAGTAATTTTCTGTGGTCCTCAGTTACAATGTTAAATAAAGTCTCTTGCGCAGCTGCTACCAATAAATAGAAAACAAACCAAATGTTTTATTTTGCAAAGACATAAAGAGCTCCCCATGAAGCTCAAAAATGTTTCCCAATTCCAATTAAATTCAGAAAACCTAAATTCAGACTATACAGTGAGATGGTTCTATACTTTGGCTAGAGATGTTTTAATGCAACTATTCTTTATATGCCCTTATTTTAACTTTTTATGTGTATAAATAACATACAACTTATAAAACATACAGAAAACACAATAACCACTGAACAAATGAGACCTTTCAAGTTCAAGCCACAGTAACTTCTAAATGTTACTGCCTCCCCACAATCTCTGCATACCCTTTGAGACAATTTGACTCATGTAATTGAATGCATTAGCATTGCAATATATATGCATTTAAAGTCTTCTATATTCATAAACCCTAAACAATCATGACTCTGAAATCAACAGATATCAAAAATTGCACAGAAATTGATAATTATAATTAGCATTTTCCACTTTGTAACTGTAAAGAATTTGTGTTATTTGTGTAAAAGGAAACACTGAGAACACACATTTTTTCATCATGAATTTTAGCTTGTTTCATTTTCAATTAGCTAAAAGCTACTACATAAGTGTGCATGAGCTACTTTCACCATAACACTGAATCATCAAATGTACTGGAATGTTAGATGTCAGACATACAAGATATCAAAAACACGTAAAGAAGGAATCTAAAGAAGTGAAGTGGGAATTTGCATTCCTCAAGTGTACATTTGGAGAAAAATAAAGATCCATACTCATTGATGGCTCTGCAAGATGTATCACAGGCACCATGTAGATACCATAACCTTCTACAAACAAACTAACTGGAAAAAACTTAGGAACTAAGAAATCACAAAATGACTCCTGCAAAGGCTCCAAAACAAGCCTTATTCAGCACTGTGAGAACGTCACTCTGGATTCCAAATTTATTTCTCACCAGATTAACAAGATGATGAAATTGCACACAGATACAATAAAATGCAAAAGGTATGGTATGGGCTTACCCGTTCTAGTATTACCTTATTCAACTGTTCCTTGGTTTTGTAGGGAAAAGGTGCTTTCCTGAATTTTCCCTCTTTGTATTTTTGTGTAATGAATGCTACCCTTTTTTCTGCAGGGGCATCCATATGCAGCTCTTCATCTGGAGGAAGATTTCCTGCCCAAAAACTGTTTGCCCTCTTATTTCCAATGATGATGAAGAGCTAGATGAGGTGCAAGAAAAAAAATAAGCAAAATAGCATGAAGGATATGAAGCTATCCTCTAAATAGTTTTCAGCTGCTAAAAGTTGAAAGTTATTAAAGAAAAGAAAATTGCCTGCAGGAGACAGAAGCCCTTCTCAGTCACTGCCTATGGCCATCTATAAATTAATAATAAAGTCTGTAGTCATCATTTGCCATCAATAGCAACTAAGCTTTACAAGGCTAACCAGTTATAACATTTCAATTCATATTAGAAAATATGAGTAAAACATCAGAAAAGACTGGCATATGTTTTAAAGAAAATACTGATGACTCAATCCTCTCAATCAGCATCACTTTTTAACACCTCAAGCAACTACACTGTAGTGAGAAGTTTCCTTTCTTTTTTTCCTTCCCAATATTGCCCATCATGATTGCTCTCCAAAAGCTTTTAATTTCTTTTCCTCCCAAAAAACTAGATGCTTAGAGAAATACTAAAAGAAATTGTACAGAAGGTTATCAAAATGAATATTTTGAATAACACAGAGGTACATTATTCCTGGAAACATCAAGTTTACTATAACAGCAGCATGTTATTTAGCTGCTATATATTCAGTTTTCTTGTGACTAAAGCAATAACTAACTCCTAGTGATACAGCAGTTTTCAAGATGGAACAAAGACTTAAGAGTATCACAACATACCTCAATAAGTTCATTGCTCCAAATGCTAGCATCCATTTTTAGACTCCGGACCTTCGAATCTCTTGGTCCTAAAGATCTGTGCTGCCCTGAAATTCCAAGAGTATTTTTACTGAACTAAAGCACTTAAACTTGGTTTCTCTTCTGCTGAGGTAACAAAAAAAATTAATGAAGACAGATTTATTCTAATTGCTGTTTTTTAAAAAGGCTGGGTTTGAAATTTGAATATAAAATAAAAGCAGCAAAACACCCCCAAATTAAAAAAACAAAAACAAACCACAACACAACAAACAAGTGGATTACATTTGATAGTAATAAATAAGCAAAGTAGGCTGTCTGATATAAAATACTTTTGGGAGGGGTTGTTTTGAAAGAAAGCCTAGACTTATAAACTACTTCCCTGAATCTACTACTTAAGCACATATTTAAATATAAAACATGATAGAACTAGATTTCTAGTAGTATCTGAAAAAGATATCCCTATTAGCAGTAAAATATGCCCTGATATAATAGAATTAATACCCCAAAATTAAACACTGAAAATTGTTATCCTTTGGCATCCAGCCTTGCAGAAGCCAGCCATTTTCCACAAAGTGCTAGTGTGTCTTAATTTCCACTAATTGTGAAGGATTATTCATCTGAGGGAAACCGATCACCTTACAGATCTGTCATTTATGCATGGAAGTGCTTTAGAATAAAATGACCTTGGTGTATTATTTAAAAAAAAAAAAAGTTATGTTCACTTTTTGTTTGTCAAAACTTTCACAAGGATGGCACTGTAAAAGTGAAAAAAGCCAATTCAAGGACATACACATATGCAAATATGACATTTTGCAGAACCCACATAGCCTGTCATTAATTACTCTACCTGCGCACTTCTTACAAATGACAACACAGAGATTGATGGATGCCCAGTCAGGACTGGGAGCTTTACAGTCAGCACAGCTCCTGTTGGACTCATTGAACCAAATCTTCTCAGCTACTTCATAATCAGACAGAGTTTCTGCTATCGATTGCTGCAGTGCTTCAATCCAGTCCTGTTTCTCTCTTTCCGACTCTGCTGTAAAGCTGAAACAATTGACTTTTCTGTGTTATTGATCTTTATTTTAAAGCCCAATTAAACATAGTCTGTAGTCTCTCTTATTTATTACATTTACACTCAAAATCATGGTCAAAAAAATCTTCCCCTACATAGATATAAACACTGAGATGAAATGTGTTATTTTTTGGTTTTAGTCAATGAAAACTCCCTGTATTTTTGTGTTCAGGTTTCAACAAAACCACTACTAGCATGAGCTACACAGCTTTGGTAATGTTCAAGTTACGTTCCCGAGTTACTTTCAATCTTTTTGTGTTACCACGTACCAAACTTAAAGCCTGAACTTTAACAAAAGCATAGAATGACCAAAGGAAACAGGGAGACTTACTGATGAGTAAAAATGGTCTTGCTAACTACAACATCCAAAAAAATGCTTTTCGTTTGAATTGATCTTTTTGAAAAATATAAACAACAATAAGCAAGCACCAAAATGGTGATAGCTTAGAGAAAGTCAAAGAACTAGCTATCTACCAACTAGCCACAGATTCAAATCACTGTTCAAGACTAATTTACCTGCTACTCTAGTCTACTGAGAATGAAAGAAGAATCTTCGCTAACATTTAGAAAGCCCAGGAGAACAAAGTGATTTCTTCTTCTCCTGCATTACTGAGATTTCATTTAAGAAACACTACAACACCTAACAAAAGGCTTTTATTAGCATATGCTTTTATTTTCTTAAAAATCATTACAAGTCACAGCATCAGCCAAAGTGAAACTTTCTACTGATTTCAATAAAGGATTTCTACAAGGGATGGCATAAGTGATTCTTTTCTTTTTGAATAAAATGCTTAATATTAAATGGATGCAGCATTATTTCACTATTGCGGTTTATTATTCTTTTAAGATGGAGTCAAGTTGTTAAAATGACCTTTTTTTTCTTCTGCCCTTGCACAGAATGAACAAAGGCAGCTACATAAAAATACAAATCTGTGGGCACAGATGTCTAGTCAGGCAGGTAACAGATGAAGCACACAGCTAAACAAAAGAAAGAAAATCCTTCTGTTTTTTTTTTTTTAAATGCTGAGCATTCTTAATAAAAACATTACCTTTTCATCCAAACTAGGTAAGTCACTGTAGTACGAAGCAAGTATTTCTTTAGTGCATTAGTTATTTGCATATTTTGTAATATATAATATTCAAGTTCTCACCTAAAGCTTTTGTAAGGAGTAATTATTTCAAAAGATTGCTTTGCAGTCCGATCCACTTGTTTTACATTTGCCACGTTCATAGGGATTATAGTGATACCAAATCCTGTCTTAAAATCCTAGGGAAAAGACAATAAGAGTTCAGGGTTTTGTCATTCAAGAATCAAAAACGTATAGAACAATTAAATCAGAATGGTCCAAAAATCCAAGGTCAGCAATACACATTTTGGCCACAACATGCAAGGTCCTTCTAATTCATTAACAGATAAATAAACCTATACCAAATTTTGTCCAAACACTATGCTTCTAATTGCTAGAATAACCTTACTTGATTGTTAGTGGGAGAAAAAATGCACACTGTAACCATTAATAAAGGAAAAAAAAAAAAAAGGTTAAATTAACAGATTGCATTAAAATGTGGATCCAAAACTATGGAAGTATCTAGCTTAGATCGTGCTTTAGTGACTAAATAAGTTTTATAAATCTAAATCCTTCTTGTTGACAGCACTTTAGTCTGCTTTTAAAACAGACTGTTTTAACAAAATAAAATATATTAGGTATGAAATTCTTTCTTAAACCTTTGGTTGCTCATCCTTCTGATGTATTACATGAACTAAATATGTCAAACGTCCTTGAAAAAAAGTACTATACAGCAGCTAAAATAGACAAAGGGTTATCTGTGGCTCAATTATTAGAAATGCTAAGCATTTTTGCCTTAAACCAAGAGAAATGATCTTTTTTTTCCCCTGCATGTAATAACATACTTAAAATAAAAATCAATCTTACATTAACACAGCTGGGAGATAAAATGTTCAGTGAGCTCTTGTGAGGCTCTCTCAAATGCATGCATTTTGGAAACACTGATAGGCACATATGTTATTTCTGATCTATTCGGAACACCATCAGTATCTCCTCCAACTGATTTAGATGTTCATCTAATGGTAGTCACTTCCACAAGTTTAATTTCTGGTAATATTAGCTTACTTCTTAGAAACAGTAACTGCATCAGAAACAAAACCAAACTGCATCACCCAAGCAAAAAGCCAAATCCACATACCTCACCATCTGCAAGATGTTCACTAAGTTACCTCTCACATAACAGGTGGTTGGGTATGGGCTGATAAATGTATGAGCCCTGGAGGGGAAAAGCTTCAGAGTTACCTGCCCGAGCAGAGGGGATTGTTTTTCTAGTAAATACATATTTAAACCTGCATCACTAACAAGTTTCTCTTTGTAAGATTTTCAAATTTTGTGACCAATAAAGCTCATATGGAGAAGATATGTCTGTATGGAGTTTGCGTGGCAAGGTTTTGGTAGCAGGGGGGCTACAGGGGTGGCTTCTGTGAGAAGCTGCTGGAAGCTTTCCCTGTGTCCGACAGAGCCGATGCCAGCCGGCTCCAAGACGGACCCACCGCTGGCCAAGGCCAAGCCCATCAGCGATAGTGGTAGCAGCCCTGGGAGGGGAAAAGTTACTGCGCAACAGCAATTGCAGCTGGAAAGAGGAGTGAGAATATGTGGGAGAAACAACCCTGCAGACACCAAGGTCAGTGAAGAAGGAGGGGGAGGAGGTGCTCCAGGCGCTGGAGCAGAGATTCCCCTGCAGCCCGTGGTGAAGACCATGGCAAGGCAGGCTGTCCCCCTGCAGCCCATGTAGGTCCACAGGGGAGCAGATATCCACCTGCAGCCCAGGGAGGACCCCAGAGCGGGTGGATGCCCCCAAAGGAGGCTGTGACCCCATGGGAAGCCCACGCTAGCGCAGGCTCCTGGCAGGACCTGTGGACCCATGGAGAAAGGAGCCCACGCTGGAGCAGGTTTTCTGGCAGGACTTGTGACCCCGCAGGGGACCCACGCTGGAGCAGTCTGTGCCTGAAGGACTGCAGCCCAGGAAGGGACCCATGCTGGAGCAGTTTGTGAAGGACTGTCTCCCATGGGAGGGACCCCATGCTGCAGCAGGGGAAAAGTGTGAGGAGTCCTGCCCCAGAGGAGGAAGGAGCAGCAGAGACAACGTGTGACAAACTGACCCCAACCCCCATTCCCTGCCCCCCTGCACCGCTGGTGGGGGAGGAGGGACAGAAAACCAGGAAGGAGGGAGGGGTGGGCAGAAGGTGTTTTAAGATTTGGTTTTATTTTCTCAATACCCTACACTGATTTGATTGGTAATAAATTAAACTAATTTCCCATGAAGGTACTTGCCAAGTGATCTCCCTGTCCTTATCTCAACCCATGAGCCTTTTGTTGTATTTCCTCTCCCCTGTCCAGCTGAGGAGGGGAGTGATAGAACAGCTTTGATGGGCACCTGGTGTCCAGCCAGGGTCGACCCACCACAACTGCACAAAACTCTTTTCGCTTCATTCCCCTATTTCAGGTATGAGCAAATAAAAATATTATTTTAGCCATGACCGATAAGGCTAAATCTGACACAAAACACACATATGAGTCTACGCACAAGTGGAAGTACTAATTTTATCACATGAAGTGCTGGAGAGAATTATGCCCTGAAAGGCATTATAATGTCCATTTTAAGATAAGATTTTTAAAATGCCATAATTTCCATTAATTAAACATAGTGTGGGATAAGTCAGCTAATATTTCCCTGCCAGACTTCTCATTAAGAATTTTTTTTTTTTTTTACCTTCCATTACCTTTGACAGTAATAGTGTGGAACCCAGGTGTGGATTTCAGCACAAACCTTTATAAAAAGTAGTAACTTTTCAACAAGTACCCTGGCTTAGCCATTCCTCATATAGTATATTTTTTTAATATTTCTACCTTTCTTCTACCCTCATATCCTGTAACATAGACATTTTTATTCTCTCCCCTCATCTTCAGACCCACTGACACATCTGCCTTAGAAGACAGCAGAGAGTTCTGTGAAGCCTACACAGTCCCTAATTCATCCTCAAAGATCAGTTCTATGGGAAAGGAGTGGGCAGAATAATCTTTTTGAGTATTAACTTGACAGCATGCTCTGTAACAGTGAAGCATTCTTAAAGTCAGACATCACCAGTGAGAAAAACAGAAGCGTGAAATACACAGTAAAAAAAAAAGAATGAGGATAGAAAAATACTAAATTTTTATTTCTATTAGCAGCAGTGTCTTAAATCAAATGGGCAAAATGAAAAAAAAAAAAACAAAACCACAACCCAAACCTTTACCCTTCTAGAATTAAATGGTTTACACTTTTGAGATGTAAACTGGATGCAGGTTTCAATTAATTGGCCTTAAGAAGTCCTGATTTTTAAAGGACAGGTAACAAGACTATACTTGCACCTGAACAACAGTGCAATGCATTCTTTGTTTATTAAATAACAGCTAAATGACTGCAAGAAGCCATGGTTAATAACAGTTCAATATACTCTTAGGTCCAGATTAGTTTACTTAAGGTAAATGATAAGTAATGAAGACAACTGAAATAATAACTACCATATTGACCCAGATGAAAAGTTCACCTGGTGCAATAGCTTCCCTTTAAGCACTCACTAGAGGCAACTGTCATAAAAAGAATGTAAATAAGAAAAGGTACATTGTCATCTTCCCAAATAAGCTTCCAGCAATCTAAGGACTTCCAGCTCATAAAGTCCCTAAACCAACAGTTGCAGCAAAGCCATCATACTTACTAGCCATAGATGCCACATCCGCAAGGAATTTAAACAAATTCATGCTTTGAGGCCTCCGCAGCAACCTACTTCATAGATTTCCCAAATACTAATTGCACAAAAAAGTAGTTCCTTTTGTGCACGTATGTTAGGGTTTTTCTGCCTGATAACCGAGAATTTCATTAAATGACATTAGAGAAAATGAACGGTAACTGAACTTTATTCATCTACCTATTTCATACTGTTACTTCTTGAAAATCTCTATGCTATATTCCCTTCAGCCTCTTCTTTTTTATGCCTTCAAGCAGCTAGCTGCACCCACTTTCCTTGGAACAAAAAGGGAGCAGGCTGCATGGAAGCACCCTGCAGGCCAGGATTGCACACATTTATGTCTGTGAGAACAGACACCAAACTTTGTCGTACTGAACTTAACAATGCACAATTAAGAAAGCGCTCTAGAAATGAAATGCATTAATTTGAAAGTCTTTACCTTTAGCTGGAGCATCAACCCTCCAAAATTTGCACACATATGCAGTGTATGAACAGTCCCACTGACGAGAGAATAACTATTATGTTTTAAATTCAGCAAGTGCATAAGAACTTACAGTACTGAATCTCAGTGTGAGGAATGTCAGAAAGGTTAAGAAATTAGAAGTGAGGAATATACTTTTCAGGACTGAAGACTGTGGCAAATTAACCAATTTCATTGCTACATTAGAGCAAAGTTATTTCTGTAATGATCCTAACAAACTCTTTACAGTAACTGTACAACACTTGGAATAAACCAGGCTTTGTGAGCGACAGGTACACTGGAATCTAATTTTCAAGGTTCAGAATTATATGCTTTCAGGAGTGCAGTCTTGTTCTCTCCTTCAGAAACAGAAGTGGGAATTGGTACAGGGAAGAAAGAAATTCTCCACTTTGAAAGATAAATTCATTCACTTTGAGTGCACAAGAGGACAATAGGGCCATTCAAGCACTATACAAAAATGTACTGACTGCAAGACCAAGCAATATCTTTTCAGAATAAGAATTGTCTTGCTTCTACAGACTGAAAGCTCATTGTTTCAGATAGATTAAACTGTGTTAGACTTTCTGACAAATGAAGAAAAGTATAAGAAGATTAAAAAATGCACAAAGCTGAGCGTTGTTCGTTTTTTGTAAATATACATGTCTTAAATGTCTATATTTTTACTACCTTCACAAACTTGAAGAAAGGCTGAAAAACAGGTTGAACATAAGAGCTTTTAAAAAAAATTTCTTTACAGATATAATAATAGAACAAAAGTATTCACTAAACAGCACAGTTAACTGAAGGCTAAAAATACTAATGGGGAAAGTAGTTAACTATGAGATGACTATTTGCTTTCTGATAAGCTGTTCTTCCTTCCTGAAGGAGGAATGATAATAATGTCCGAGTCCTGCTGTCACTATCACCCCTGTCTGAAAAAGACATAACCTATGAAAACCTGTTATCTGTATAGAAACTGTGAAATTATATAACAACTTTTTTTTTAAAAACA